CAGATAGATAGACAGACAGACAGATGTACAGACAGACAGACAGACAGATAGATCAGTAGATAGATAGATAGTGCCCCACACTGTAAGTTTGAGCAATCTACTGCTTCACAGCACAACTGTTGTTCCTCCTAAATACTTCTGTCATACAATAATATGACTTACAACTGACAGTTCTAGCAGGACAGAGATTTCATGAACTGACTTGTGGCAAAGATGGCATCCTGTGACAAAGCTTTGATTTAAAGAGCTCTTCAGTCTGACCCATTCTACTGCCAGCGTTTGTCTATGGAGATTGCATGGCTCTATGCTTAATTTTATACACTTTTAAGCAAAGGATGTGACTGAAACACCTGAATTCAGTAATTAGGAGCAGTGTCCACATTATTTTGGCCATATAGTGAAGATTATAGAAATATTAACACATTATTAATCTTGTATATAGTAGTTTTACAGTGACTGTTTCAGTAAAGAGTTCTGCCATTGTGATTGGTCCCTCTCACTTCATAATTACACCTTCAGTCCAGCTCCTGAAGTCCTAACCAATGGGAGAACTGACTTGGCTGTATCCAGTAGATATCACAGAAAACAAATCCTGACTGAATAATTTCTGTTAAATGTTGCAAGATTTTAACCCTTTTGCTTCCAATCAAAAATAACGACAATAGAGCATTATTACAATACTTGAGTCTTTTGGGATGAGTAGGAGTGACGTTTGTAATCCAGAACTAATCATCAAACATCAGCACCTAACCTCACTAATGCTCTTGTGGCTGAACGCAATCAAATCCTCACAGCAATGTTTCTTTTCTTTTCTTAATGGAACCCTTTTTTGGTGCTAGATAGAACCCTTTTCAAGAAGGTTCTATATAGAACCATGTATAGCTCATTCTTCATCAATCTGAAGAATGCTTTCACGCTGCAAAGAACCCTTTAATAATGTAAAAGGTTCTTTGAGTGTTCAGGGTTCTATACAAAACCTTTTTCTTTACTAAAGAACCCTTGAAGAACCATCTTTTTTAAGAGTGTAGTGTAAAACCTTCCCTAGGAAACAATGGCTAAGCAGATGTCTACAAACTGTTAGACAAACACTGTAGATAGACAGAAAGACTGACAGAAAAGGAGAAATGCAGACTTGAATGGCAGAGCGCAGTAAAGGCAACTGTAACATGATCACCACTGCTGGAATGACTTTAAAGGCCACACTAATGTAAACATCTTATTTCAAACAAACAAGCACGATGACCTTTCCAAAAGCGAGGGAGCGCGAGAAAACTCCATAAAGGTCACGCCTGGATGAAAGTGCAAAAGGAATTTGGCTTGAAATGAGAAGAAGCAACAATCACACTATTTCATGAATCAGAAGTAACATTCAATGGTTTCTATTACTCTCTCTCTTTCTCTCTCTCTCTCTCTCTCTCTCTCTCTGCTCTCTCTCTCTCTCTCTCTCTCTCCCTCTATAATGAATATGATGTGACTTGAAGGACTACAGAACAACTCGAGTGTCGACGTTTCACCTCATCATATCACTCTTATCTTATAGAAAGTTATGCTAATACTATGGCATATTGAAAGCTCATTACAGTCACCTTTTCCTCTCCAACTTATAAAATAAAAGACTCCAAAACAGAAACCAAGGAATGAGCATACACTGTGCCCAAAAGTGTCCAGACACCCCTTCTAATTAGTCAATTCAGCTACTTTCAGTTACACCCATTGCTGACACAGGTGTTCAATCGCATAGCTATAAGCTCCATAGAAAAGCAATGCCAATTAGAATGGAACACTCTAGAGCAGCCAAACATGAGCCTAAGGTCACGATGCCCAATGCTGAGTGTCAGCTAGAGGAGCATAAAGCCCCCAAGCATTGGGCTCTAGAGCAGAACTGAAGTGATGGAGCACCTTTTGGATGAGTTCGAATGGTATTTATGATCCAGAACTAATCATCCACCATTGGTAGCTAATCACATGTGGCTGAATCAATAAAATCCTCACATTAGTGATCCAGCATCTAGTGTAAAGCCTTTCCAGAAGAGTAGAGGCTGTTACTGTAGCAAAGGGAGGGCAAACACCAAATACCTTTGATTTTAGAAGAAATGATGGAAACATTTGGACAGTATAGTGTAGATGACCAGACAAGAACCAGATCTTGTTCCATGAGTTTGTCTTAGCTGAGCATTGTTCTGGTACCAACAAATAAATGTGACAAGAACACATTTCTGCAGTAGAAACATGGTGTAACTGGTTAATGCTTTTAGCACTTCCAAAGATAGAGTCACATGCTTATAGCACCATTGCAGTCATGTCTATTCCAGCTGTCATCACTTCTGCAATGTCTATGAAAGGGAATAGAGTGAGTCTGGCTGGTTGTTTGGACAATCTAGATTACAACAGTTAATTCCACATAATACATAGTAAACAACATCGATCCCGCTGTTGTTTAATTTAGAAGAAACAAAAGACTTTGCCACACAATATGACCAAATTCCACTTCGGTGGTGCTTTGCAAACACTCTTATTTTGGTCTTACCTGTTACCTGTCCAGTCCTTTTGTCATACCAAGAGCTTACATATTAAAGGGGAATTCCACCATAATTTCTGCATAATTCTATTGTTGAGATCTGAGCAAAGTCATTTAGACTGGTTTGATGTGAAATGGTGAGTTGTAGAGAAACATGCAGACTCGGATTTCTTTACATTGGTGGTGATGGGAACCAGGGGTCACAATGTCTACTATGCAAGTATAGGCATTTTATTTACAATCCAAAATGTCCAGTAAACATACATACTCTAAGCTTTTATATGAATGTTGATGATAGTAAAATAGTGGCAAATCTGAATAAATATGTTCTGTTTGGGGACTATTTCACCATATAACACCATGCATGTACTTCTTCCCCATGAATGGATTTAAAAAATATGCCAAAACCTGACCTTAAACAAATCATTAAACAGTATCTCAGGCATCAGGCAGTTTTTTTTTCATATCCATTTCATGTAATAACGTTCTGTGAGGCTGCTTTAAGTAACATTAAACATTTCAGATGGCTGGTTCCTGTTACCTGCGATGGACTGGTGACCTGTCCAGGGTGTATCCTGCCTTCCGCCCAATGACAGCTGGGATAAGCTCCAGCACCCCACCGCGACCCAGAAGGATAAGCGGTTTAGATGATGTGCGTGTGTGTGTGTGGTTCCTGTCACCACCACTGTGAACAACTCTGACTCAGTAAGTTTCTACAGGACAGACCATTTCACCACCAAACCACTTTGCTAACATAATTACGCAGATATTTTGAAAAATCGGTGGAACTCCCCTTTACGCCAGTATGTACTACCTTGTGTCTTACAGCAGTCCCGTAAAGCTTCATTCACACACTCCTGTCCACTCCTGCCATCATACATAGTCCTGTATGCACTGCTACAGACTGCACCAAATAGGCTTTAGGAACCCATTCGTTTACACTTGGTCTTAATTGAAGGTGTGTATGATTAACAATCATTGGAGGCTTTAAGAGGATGGCATATGTGTGGGCTTTGTGGGTGTGAAATGCATCTATTTAGTAGATCTTTCTGTCGAATCTTTCGTCTTTAAACTCAGAGGAACACAGAAATGGAACATGAACATTTAGGCTAAGAACATAATCAAATGGGTGAATACATTTATAGCCACTTTACAGGCCATATTGTAGATTTGAAATGCTATCACAGTGATGTAAATGAATTATTACATACTAAGGCTTATCATTCAGTAACTACAGGCACTTCAATGCAAACTGGTTGAGCTATTCTCAGGTTATATATATCAGGTTAAATAAACTAGAGCACTGTGAGCACAACACTGTGCAAAAGTCAGAGACCACCCTTCATTTCCTTCATTTCCTGCTAAAACAGCCATTGAGTACAAGTTATTCATTTTTCAGGAGATAGTGTTGCATAAGAAAGTCAAAAGAAAACATGATAATACAGGATTTTTTTTTATAAAGCTGGAGTTTAAAATAATGGGTAAAGGCTACAGAGAAAACGAGACTCCAAACAACTAAGCAAGACATGCTAGACCACCAAAACTGTCACCAACAGATATATAGTACTTAACCCCCTAAAATCCCAGACTTTAGGCCTACTGGTGGGCCCTGGCCATTTATGGGGTTAAATCTTTTATCTTTGAGAGAGAGGAGAAAATCAAGCTCCACTCTTGCTTCAGATCTGAAAAAAACACTGGGGTTTCTGTCCATCCTTCCACTGTGAGAAGACAATTTAGTACTATGTGTCTGAAAGGATGTGTAGCTGTCAAGAAACTGTTACTGAGAAAAGAAAATAAGAAACTGTTACTGAGAAAAGAAAATAAGAAACTGTTACTGAGAAAAGAAAATAAGAAACTATTACTGAGAAAAGAAAATAAACAAAAAAGAAAGGACAAAACAAAACACAAAGAAGACAATTTGCAAATTAAATAAAGTAGCTGCTGGTGTTCTCAGTGGACTGACCACCCCAGAGTCCAGACTTCAACATCTATGTGTCTGGGATGACTCGGATTGTGAGATCCAACTTCTAAGCCTGAACTTTGGAGGTGTGGAAAAACATCCCTGCAGAATTCTTTCCATTGACTTCAGTGTTACTGTAGCTAAAAATGGTCTGCCTATGCTTAACCCAACCCAGAGCTAAACATCAGGAACCAAAAGCAAACATTTTAGCTCTTTTACTTCTTGTAATAAATTCTGCCTCCTTGTTCTAAGGGCTTTTCAACAACAGGGACCACCACAATGACAAAATGCTCATGTTTTCCATCATTATGGGGACATTTGGTTCCCATACAGAGCTCAATACACACACAACACATCACACATCTCTTCCAAACCAGGCAACAGCACCTCACACACGAGCAGCTGCACCCATCCCCACCTTTCCATCACCCACCCCACCAAAGCCATCCAAAAACAAAAGAAAGAAAAAGGAAACACCCAAAAAAAAACACCACCACCGCCACCTCCTCTCCCATCACTCACCGCACAACAGCTGCATCCACGCGCACGTCTTGTACACGGTGGCCGTGTTGCAGAAGAAGAAGAGCACCATGCAGGCGATGCAGCTGAGGATCAGCACCATGGAGAGCAGCACGAAGAAGGAGGCCGCCTTGAAGGCGCCCGACGGGATGGAGCTGAAGTCGGCGAACGTGCCCTGGCACTTGAGATCGCGGTTCGAGCTGCCCTCGCCCACGCAGTAGTGGAAGAGGCCGAAGTAGCCGGCCTGCGGCGTGTTCACGCTGTCGCCGATCCAGTAGGGCTGGATGAAGACCACCACGTTGATGATGGCGAAGCAGATGGTGAAGATGGCCCAGAGCACGCCGATGGCGCGCGAGTTGCGCATGTAGTTGTCATGGTAGATCTTGGAGGCTTCTTGCGAGGGCAGCATCTTTGTGTCTCTGAGTGTCTCTCTCTCTCTCTCTCTCTCTCTCTCTCTCTTCTCCCCCTTCTCGGATGCTCTTCTCCTCTCTCTACCCCCCTCCTGTCCTCTCCACTCCTCTCCTCACCTCTCCTCTCTCTATCTCCCCCTATCTGCCCCCTCGCTCGCTCCCCTCACCAGCGGCGCCGCTGGACGCTGATGATGGTCAGTCAGAGGCTCGATCACCCCTCGTGCACACTTTCCAGTGGCCTATCTTACATCACAGCTGATGGGGAAACGGAACGAGTCGCTGGGTGCAACAGCGAGAAGAACGAATACAATCCTGTCAGTTTGCCCCGTCCTCCTCCTCCTTCTCTTCCTCCTCCTCCTCCTCCTCCTCCTCCTCCTCTTTCTCTTTTTTCTCCTTTTCCTCCTTCTCTTCTTCTTCTTCTTCTTCCTCCTCCTCCTCCTCCGCTCTCCGCGCAGAAGCTACAGCAGCAGCAGCCGAGGCGGCCGAGCTCACATCTCAGCGCGAGAAGCGGCCATGGCCACAGCGCGCGAGCCTACAGCCCCGCTCCAACAGCAGCTATCAATAATGCAGCCCCCCTCGCCTCGCCTCCCATCCAATCTGACGCTTGGTGGGGATGCAAGAGCTACAGGCAGCGCGAGAGCATCTTCATCCTCATCCTCAGGACCACCTAGCTCTGCGCAGCCCGCTGGAAAGGGAGGATGACGAAGACCGGGGGATGAAGGCTCGAGGTTCCTCTGTCAGTAAACGCGCTGAGGTTCACGCGCAGAGGAGCGGTAGGGATCCGCTTTGGTGCTTTTTATTTGATCGTTTTTCGTTTTTCGTTTGTATCCGCGCCGCCGCTGGTCCTCCGCGCTCCCGCTGCCTCCCCTCTCCTTCTGTGTGGCTACGGTGCGCGCTCCCGCTCACGGGCACAGGCGCGCTCCCGTCTGGAGGATTGCAGAAAGTGAAATGGCCCGACGGTCCTTCAGCAGGCGCTGTTCAGCTCCTCAGCGCTCAGCTTTCACAGACGCGCACACACACACACACACACACACACACAGTGCACTCACTACAGTCAGTGTGAGTAAAAAAATAAACAAGCATAAAATAAACTAAATGTTTTGTGATATTTATTGTTATTAATTTTTATTTTCATTATATATTAATTTAATTCTATTAATTATTTGTTTATTTATATTATTATTGTTATTACTATTATTACTATTTTTAATAATAATAATAAATTAAACTATTAAAATGTATAAATGTATTAATTAAAATTACTACTACTAATGATACAAATCATAATTATCATTAGTATCATAATAAAATAATAATAAACTGTATTGTTTAAATTTAATTATTATATTATGATTATTTTATTTTTGATTATGATATTATTAATAACATCAGACGCAGTAATTTAAAATACTACTATTTTTAAAATAAAATTAAATATTACCATTATTAATAGCAAATTTACATTTTATCTTTAAATTCTGAAATATAAAGTATTCAATTATATTATTATTATTATTATTATTATTAGTAGTAGTAGTATTAGTAAAAGTTGTGATAGTAGTAGTAGCAGTAAATAAAAATCACTAATAAACGTACAAATAAAAATTACTAATAAAATATCAAAATATAATAAATTATTGTTATTATTAATATATTTTATTGTTTCTATTCAGAAAAAAGGTTGTTGCTATTATTATAATGTATGTTTTAAAATTGTTGTTGCTGTTATTATCTTGCTCCTCAACACCCCTTTAGAACTTTAGATCATGTTGTGTTTCTTGTTCTGTGTTCCACGCACAGTAGCTGAAATCCAGACAACGAAGAGTGATTCACAGACCAGTCTAGGTCTCCCAGTGGTCTACACCTTCCATGAAAGCATTTCTTTCTACACAAATACACCAGACATAACATTATGACCACCTCCTTGTTTCTACGCTCATTGTCCATTTTATCAGCTCCACTTACTATATAGGTGCACTTTGTAGATCTACAATTACAGACTGTAGTCCATCTGTTTCTCTGCATACTTTGTTAGTCCATTTTTACCTTGTTCTTCAGTGGTCATAATGCTATGTCTGGTGTATTTGTGTAGAAAGAAATGCTTTCATGGAAGGTGTAGACCACTACACGTCATAATGTTATGCCTGATCAGTGTATGTTTTAAAACAACTTCATACTGACCAATGGACAAAACGACGGGCTTAATTTCCCATAAAAATTGTATTTATTTAAAAACTCAGCTCTGGATTCATCAAGTTCCTTTATCATATAGACATTGAAGAAGTGGTTCCTAGAGTTCCTAATATCCAATTAATCTTGTAATAAAATTCTTTGATAACATCCCACAGTGCAACTCAAAATGTGGTGAACACAGATGTACCCTCACCCTAACTGCTCCAGTGTCTCCCAGAATGCCCTACAAATCAATTCTCTTTACTTTTGTAGGCGAGTGAAAGGACACACTGTCATAATGTGGGAAAATATTTATGGGAAAATAAAGTGTAAAAATAAAAAGCTTATACAGGTTTTTTGAGACAAATGAACGCTGTTCAAAGGTATATCTTAGTCTAGGCCTAGAATCTCCAACATGAATTTATCCTTATCTGTTTAGTGGCTGATTTCTGTATTGTGAATGTTGTGAATTCCAGGAAAATTTTCTTATGGAATGTGCAAGTGAAGCGGAGACTGACAAACAATATAGACATTCCTGATGCTCTGACTGATGGCTCATTAAAAATACACTTTGGAACAGCCTATAGGCCAGTAATTCATACAAATGTAGGTTACAGCATATTCTGTCCTACCGTTAGCTTTATAAAGCATTCTTTACAATGAAGTGTTGTAATTTCAAATTGACCGAGATGGTAAAGGTTACACTGAACTTGACCTTAACTGTTTTATCAGCATTAGCACTGTTTACAATATAAGAACAGGCAGTGTTAGTGCTAATACATATCATGCCATGTATAATATGTATTGGTGTGGCAGGTTTTCAGAAGTCCTATGTCAATTTGATAAAATATTCTAACAAATTCATCTAGTAGCAATTATATTTGAGCATGTAAGAATTCAGGCCTCATATATGGCTTTTTCCAATTCTCTTCAGTCCTTGCTTTTAAACATGTATTAACTCAATTTATATTATCTAAGAATAAAAAATAAAGTTATTATTCAGTAAATCAAAAGTTATTATTCAGTAAATCAATATAAAGAATTTGAACATGTTAATATGAAAACTGAATTAGCACACGTTGTGAATTTACTCACAATAGTAAAAAATACGCCCATAAGAATTTATTTGGCACAGAAATAGTGAGAATTAAATCCTTACGTGCTAAAATGTAATTTCTACTAGAAAAAATGAATTTACATTTTATATTTCAAATTTTAATGTTTTTATCTCTTATATTATCTGAATTTATGATGTCATAAATTGAGGATCAGAAGCTAAAACGTTTTGCCACAAAGTTTGATTTATGTGAACTGAAACTCGAGCAGGTCCATGTTGTGAGTGGATCTGACAGCGTGTCGTCAGTTTTAGGAAGTGAGGGTCACATGACGGTTTTACTTTCCTGTTTACTACTCGCTTCCATTCGAAGTCCGAAACTCGGTTGCAACAGTCTCAACGGCCGGACTGTAGTGCTAAACGGTTATAGCTAATCGTTTTGTTGCATTTTTTTGCACCAGCGAAAGCGACATTCCTGTGGACGACTTTGAATAGTTTCCAGTCATGTTGTAATTCAGCAGAAAAATGAAGACGTGACACTGTGGAGCGTGACTAGGCCGGGAGTCCTGCGGGTTTCCTGAGTGAGGTGCCCGCCCGCTCGTCCCGCTCATGCTCGCCGTCTCTCTCGGATTGTCTCGGGACTCTGTTTATTCGGACTGAGAATATGAAACAGAGACATTTTCGAGAAGCTTCGTTCTCAGACAAGGCGGTTACCTGCTTTTGTTGTAAACGGACAGGACTGTTAATGTGGTAGCTGACCGGACTGTTCTGTTGTTTGCCGGCTGTGGTAGTCCGAGTCTCACTGAAAGGCTCCAGTAGGCTCGGCTGCGTTAGTTAGCTTGCTTGCCGGTGCGGGAGTTAACTAGCTGCACAGCTAGTTAACGTACCAGTCAGCGTTAGGGGGTATCAGCTCGCCGGTACCCTGAACACTAGACGTCTCCCCGGCTCCGGCCCCCTTAAGCGGGCGGTGAGGAAGAAGCTGGCCGGTAAGGGATGGCCTGGAGGCTCGTCCCGGCCTCAGGGAGCGGCGCTGTTTGAGGGAGGGCAGGTCCGGCTGGATCACACGACCGGCCGCGGCGCGAAGATGGCCGCTGCCGCGTCTGGAGCCACGGCTCGGAAGAGCGAGGAGATCGCGGATCTGATAGACTTGTTTTCCAAGACCCAGTACAGAGCGAAGGAGGTTACCCCGCGGGTAAGGCCAAGATGTCATGATTTACACGTTGGATGTCATCACTTGCAAGCATTTTCCCGCAAGCAGTGTTAGCTGCATGGTTTGCACAGCGACCAGTAAACTTTTGTCTTGTGTTTTCTGTGTGACTAATAAAGCATGATGCTCATACCGCCTTTTTCCACCGCCATTCATGATTCATTGGCTGTTCCTTTACCCGCTCTCTACATACAAGTGTATTTTTATTAAGAAACTCAGAACAGTTCTCAGTGTAGTATTTCCCAGTCTGTTTTGATATCAACATTGCCAGAGTGAAACTGAAACCTTCTGTTGAATGCTCCCAGATGTATAGCGTGTTAAATATGGCTAACCTATAACTGCTGTGTTGGCAGGTGGAGAGAATAGAGAAGCGATGCCTGGAGCTGTTTGACCGCGACTACAAGTTTAGTATCATCCAAAACAGCAACGGCGAGGTGTGCGGCCACTACCCACGGCAGATCGTCTACTTGGAGTATGAAAGCACTGAGCCCAATAAAGAAAGGTAATGAAAGACCTTAAAGTGGAAAAAGTACAGAGAAATACTAAAGTGAAACTATAGGTAATGTGTCACAACTATAGATTGACTTCAGATAGTGTGTGTAATTGAGTGAAAATGAATAAGTAATGCAAGCAAAAAGCAATGCGTGTGTGTGTGCGCCCGTGCGCATATATATATATAAATCTAAAAATCATATCTTCATTTTTCTCAGTTTTTGGTATAGTTTGAAAATGCCTGTTGCCCTTTACGTTGTGCATACTTTTTCCGATGAATAGACCAAAAGAAATGACCCAAAACTGCTTGAAAAGAAGTCTGGTTCCAATGACTTGCATTAAAAGTAAACTATGTTTTTTCCTGCTCCTGTAAAGTTATCATTTTGGAGGTACAAGGTTTTGCTCTGACATATGTATATAATCATGCTGTACATCACCTAGACTAAGTGTTATTGAATGTAAGTGCAAGGATTCAGTTTCCTAAAATTTGAGTGAAATACAAGTCCTCCAAACATAATACTTGTGTATAATACACTACAGTCACTGAAGTGTTTTCCACCCCAGCTCAAAGGTACCTTTCAACTCAGACCCTTAGTGTTAATGTATAACTATGGGAGATGATTGTTCACCGAGTAAATGCTGAGATTGGTCAATAGTAAAGAATGTATAAACAAAAGGTTTTGATGTAAGATTTTACAGAGCAGTGGACGTTAAACCCTCAAATGCACATAAAGTTGCAGCTAAACCTGCACTTCATCAGCAACACCTGTATTGGCAGTGCTTTGCTGTGTCATTCAGATGCAGAGGTGAGTAGAGTAGTCAAAAACTAAAGTCAAGTAAAAGTATTGTTACTTTAAAATAGTAATTACTTTATCAGATTTTAATTAATAATAAAATATAACTGCAAAATCGTACTTATTCATGCTTATCTAATAACTTATCCTAGAACCTATCTACAGTTGCCTGCATTACGTTTGGGCAAGATTGCATTCTGCATTGATAGCTCCGTAGCTGATGACGACTTTCGATTAATTAATTGAGTACATATCTTTAGTTTGTTGGGATGAATCCTCAGTTGTAGAACATGGTTTAAATGTTGGCTACGATGTTGAAAAATACTCATAACAAAGACAAGCCCGCTCAAATTCAGATACGAAAAACAACCCTGGCCATAGAGAAGGCAACGCCAAGCAAACTTAAATTTTGGTTGAAGATGTAAACGTTACAAACCTCTAAGCTGTCAGATTAGTTTGTGCTCAGTGGTCACATTACTAATGTATCACAGCTAAAGCAAAACAACTTTTAATGTTAGTGTCATGCATGAAATTCTTTGCTCGCTAGTTAGCCACATTCCTGTCTGTGTTAGCTGTTAAACTCCATCACACCCTATTAGCCAAATCCATGACTTACTGCGACATGTCTTCTCAAGTTGGATTTTGACTTCTTGAATGATAAAATATCCACATTTTTAGGCTTACGGAGAAGGCAGCACATGATGTAAGTATTGGTTTTGGTAGCCTGTGGAGTAAACATTGATTTAATTAAAAATATTTAAAAATGTAACGGGAGGATCATAGATGGATGTAGTGAAGTAAAAGTACATTTTGACCTCACAAATGTGCTCAAGTAAGAGTGTAAAGTACCCTTTTTAAAAACAATCTTTAAAAGTATAATTTGTTCAAAAAGTTACTTAAGTAAATGTAGTGCATTCAGGCACTTTGTCAAATACTTCTGTCTTAAAAGAGTGAGAAAGAAAAAAACAAAATGTGGGCTCTTTTCTTTTGTAGTACTTTCATCTGTGTTATATAAGGATTAGTTGAGGCTTGAAAACTGCTCTATAGCTCTTAGTGTAGCATTACCATGTAGTGAATATTTGCTGCAGTTATGAAAATGTATTGACTAGCTTACCCACCGTTGTAGCTTATATGAACACAATCTGGAAAAAAAAAACCTTGTATCTCCATTTTGTCATTTTCTGTGTATTTTATTTATTTTACAGAATTTGACAAACACTGGCATTTTCATGAAAAAGTAGCAATGAAAAAGGTCCAAAATGACCTCTTGGTACATTAACTTCCATTCAAAAATTTCCTCCTCCTGAAAAGTTCCCTTTTTGGGAGGACAGTATTTTGTCATGAAAGCAACAGTATGAAGCTAAGTGCATGCTACACAGATATTTAGTTTTACTTGAGAAAATTGTGTGACTGTGAGATTTCTAGTGTAACTGCCATTTTGAAGAAAGATCATGATAAATTAATGATACTTCTTTCCCTCAGGCATTTCTTCCAGAATCAGAACTAAAGTTAAAGTCAGAAATGTACAGTATTCATTAGCGGTGCGGGAAAAAATCGATTCTTAGATGCATCGCGATGCGGACGTGAACGATTCTGAATCAATTCACAAATGTCAAAAATCGATTTTCTAAATATTTAATTTATAACGTAATGTTGACGGAATGCAAAAGACAGAACTTGGAAGTGCGGAAGTGCAGGCGGCAGGACAGTCTGCGGCGGCACATAACAAAAACACAACTGGATGAGCGAGAAATCCGACTGGGACCCTCTGCATTAAAAGCCAGGTTAGGTCAGGAGTCACAACCCTAATGTTAACATTTTGTCCTTCCCACAAAAATCAAACCACCTTGGGAGCCGCAACATTTAATGTCCAGTAATGTCGATTTAAGGTGGAATGGGAGAATTCGAAAGAGAAACTGACTTCAGCTTCGCCACTTTTTAGTGTTTGACAGTCTCTTGTTGCAGATTTAACGTACCCGGAAACCAACTGCGGTGCTTATAAATGCGAATAACACATCGCTGCTATGTGACCTGCAGTCTGCACGCCGGTTCTCAGTCGTCACGAAACAGGGCTTTCGCACTATGTTGCACACGTCCCGTCTCAAAGACATTTTACTGACGCAGCGATCCCCCCCGTCTCTACAACGAGACCAAAACCGAAGTTATAAAATCACTAAAGAAAACGGATAGAATAGCTGTAACATGTGCTGCGTGGACATCCATCACCACAGGATCTTATTTCACCGTAACTGCGCATTTTATCGCAGATGAGTTGCAGCAGCTTCTCGTGGTCCAAACAAGAGCACTGAATGAGAGCCTTCTATTTCACTTGCCACATCACTTCCATTTGTTTTATTAAAAAAGATATTGGAAGTAAATTCATTATGGATCATTACAAATACTCTGCTTTAAAAGTACCAAGTCACTTTAAATAACAATAACACAGAGTCACTCAGTCACTTTAAAATGTATGTTGTCTCTATATTCTGTGTATATTTTGTGTATATTTAATATATTTCAGTTGGTTTTTCTTGTATTTTTATTTTTACTTATTTACTTTCTGAAGGGTGATTAGCTGAGCCTCACCACAAGCATTTCATTGCATAAATGTCCTTACCTGTTGTGCGAGTGACAAATAAACTTGAAACTTGAACTCGAAACTTGAGCTCACACTGTGAGAAAATATAACTGCTATATAGAAAAAAAAGATGCATCGAGATGCATCGATAATCGTTTTATAATCGCATCGCAGCCCTCTGAATCGTAATCGAATCGAATCGTGAGGTGCTTTTTTCTACTCCTGTAAAGTTACCATTTTGGAGATATGAGATATTGTTCTGACTGCAGCATTATACTGTCCCAGTTAGTGCCTTGGGTTGTATTGTTGACCAAGTTATGTGTTTGGATTGACTGCTGGTCAGATGTTGCTTGTGTGTATGGTCAGTGAGGTGATGGTAAAATGTTTGTTCACCTGTTCTTTTGTTCTCTTAGTCGGAATCAAAGCAGAAAATGATGCATAGATGGATTTTACTTGGCATTAATTTAAAAGTATTCTGACACCCCTTCTGATCAGTGAATTTAGGTACATTAAGGTGCAGCTGTTGCTGACATGGGTGTTCAGTTGACACACACAGCTTGTGTAAAATAGCATTACTAATAGAATGGGAAGCTCTGGAGCAGCCGCACATGAGCCTAGGCTCGCCATGCTCAATGGCAAATGTTGGTTAAGGGGGAATAAAACCCTCCAGCAATGGGCTGTGGAGCAGTGGAACTGCATTCTCTGGACTGATGGAGCTCCATCACCTTTGGGATGAAGTGGCATTTGTGAGCAATGTTTCAACATCTAGTGTTAAGCCTTCCCAGAAGAGTACAGGCTGTTACTGCAGCTAATGAGGCCAACTACTAATACTCTTAATTTCAGAAGAAACATTGGATGAAAAGGTGCCTACAAACGTATGGACATATACTGTCCTTGAACATAAACCGCACCAGAGAATGCATGAAAGTAGGCTGAGATTGACCTTCTCTGGTTTGGTTGAATCATATGAAATGGGACAGATGTATGCAGGCCCTAATTACAGTGTGCCTTCTTGATTTTTTTTGTTCTGTGTGATAAATTAAATTCTCTCTCCTCAGCTTTGAGAGTACAGTGCAGATCAGTAAGCTGCAGGATCTGGTGAACCGCAGTAAGCTGGCCCGCTGCAGGGGGAGATTCGTCTGTCCAGTCATTCTCTACAATGGCAAGGTACTGCTACCTGTTTATAATAGGGAATGCTTTATTGAACAAAATCAGAAACTTAATTTTTTATTATACTTAAATGGTCTCTGATACTTATGAAGGCTTGTGTAATCTAAATTTGAACAATATAGATTTGTTGATTTTGTTTGTTGATTTTTAGCTGTTGTCAGTTGAACTGTGTGGTTTATTTTATGTCTAAGATGCATTTGGGTTGTGTGTGGTAGCATGTGTGTAGGTCGTCCACGCTGGCGGGATGGGGGGAACTGTACGGACGCACCGGTTACAATTACATCTTCTCAGGTACGTTCTCATTGTACCAAACATTCTGTAAACAAATTGCACTGTGGCTGATTTTACTTCACCCAGCTCCCTGTGTATCTTACCTCCTTAAATTTCTGAGATTCGTTGTCCTTATTTTATAATGCTTGAATCCTTAAAATCCTAATAAAGACTACTTTTCTATTTACCTTACATAGTACAGGATAGGTTTAATTCAGGTGATCATGGCTTTTACAGTGGCCTTGTTTTATGCAGGCCTAATGTAAAGCCTTTGTGTGGATGCAAACAGAAGGCAGGGTCTAAAGGGATCAGGCATTGTGGAAATTGCAGATATAAATTGTCTCAATGTATCCATTATGTTAAGTAATGCTGGGAAATGGCATGACGCACACTTCCGTGAAGCACTTTGCATTTGGGAACTGAAAATTGTGGGCAAATTAGTGCAGACAATGAGATTTATGAGATCCTACTTCTGGAGCTCTAAAGGTTTGTTCTGTGTTCTTCCCTCAGGGGGATCTGATGACACTTGGGCAGAATCAGAAGAAGTGCCAGAGGATGATACTGCGGTCCGGTATGAACATCATATTTAAAACATTACAACGCAAACTGGCATTTGTACATTAAGCAGATACATATTTTAACCTACTTACATTTCTACAGAAATATTTTTCTATACTTATACAAAAGAGGAAAACAGAAAAAAAGTTTTAGTTCTCCTTTTGCACTCAAATCATACATAAAGATATTCCTGCTGCACTTCTGAAGTTTCAGGCCTCTTACTGAAGATACAGTTGATCATAGATCACGTAATCAGATTCAGGGATGGAGACAGTTTTGCTGATTTGATAGTTTTTTATTTATTTATTTATTTTTAATGGGAACAAGTTTCTTCTAATAATAATATCCATTAGGACTATCAGGATCACTTAGTTAAAGAAATAATTGTTTAAAATTTACTGTCTCAATGAATTGGCAGTGATTTTGTGGTTTGCATGATGATAATGCATTTTTTAAATCCTTCGGCTGGTCTCTCTTACAGTATGAAATCGAGCCTGGTGGATAGTGTTTTAATGTATTTTTATGTATATTTTTAATGAAGCCTTTTTAAACATTCTTAGTTTATTTTTTTGAGTAAAGCATTTTGGCTATATATGGTTTGTGATTGTTCATTTAATTATGTTTAATTTAATTATTGTTTATTTTTCGTTTTTTAAGAACTCAGATTGTTCAGTTAATTATGAACATAGTGTGTAAATTAGTCAATTACAAAAATAATTCATAGTAAAGGCCCTAATATCCATAAGAAGTTCAACTCTAGTTCGGATCGACTGTCATACTGTAATATGCTGTATGGAAATGTAACACTAGAAAGATGCTTTGGATGACAGTCCACATTTTTAGCACATGAAATGAATGAGTTGAGATCCGTACAGTTTCACTTTCACTGTGTCAAACATAGTAACTGTCTTGACACAGCATTTCTCCTCTTTCTACCCTGTTGCCTCATGTCTCTGTGTAGAAATGGAGATTCGCAGCTGTTTGATAAGGTGAGGGGTTCGGACATTAAGCTGCTGAAGTATCTGTCCGTGCGCTACATCTGTGACCTCATGGTGGAGAATAAGAAGGTCAAGTTTGGCCTGAAGTAAGTGCAGTTCTGAGTGGATTCACCTTACCCACTTCATCACGTTGTCATGGGTCAGCTGCCTAAACCCACATACACATAGATGCAAATGAATGTGCACAAACATGATGACTCACTGTCACTTCTCTTCCTTAAGTAGCAAAGTGGAAAGCCTGTGTGTGCATGTGCTTATAATACTGAGAAAGTTTTTTTGCTGTCTTATTTGTGCTCAGTGTCACCTCTTCTGAGAAGGTAGACAAGGCCCAGCGCTATGCAGACTTCACACTGCTCTCTGTGCCTTATCCAGGTATCTCTCACTGTGTAACTCCGGTTGCATTGGTTAGAAACCATTCAGTTTCACTAGAAATATTGACACTTTATGCATACGTGCGATTCCTTGCTTTCATCAATATATTTTCATACTAAGGTGCTGATGTTGAGGTCATAAAGTGCATGTTATTGTGGTTTACTCTCAGGGTGTGAGTTCTTTAAGGACTATAAAGACAGAGACTACACAGCAGAGGGTCTCGTCTTTAACTGGAATCAGGTACGTTTACTCTTCATTCATGTAACTTCATATGTTGGACATAAGTCAGTATGCGTGTACATTACTCACTAAATTAAGTAGAAATTACACACATTTGTCTAATTACATAGATGGATGGAGACATTTGCTTCCCAATGCTGAGGATGTTTTAGTGTTGTCTTGGCTTAGCATTGCCATTTTTTTCCTTTAAAGGGGAATACTAATTTTAACTAACTAAAGTTTAACGTGAAATGACTCATTGTAGAGAAACTTACCAACTTGAATTTCTTTACAGTGGTAAGCAATGCAGGTATAATCATTTTATCTTTCATCTGTTTTCTGTGGGTGCTTTTTTGCCTTATGTGTGCTTCTCCACCATGGATGGCTTTTAAAAAACAATTTTTTGGCCAAAAGCTGTTGTAAAAAAAATGTCTCAGGCAGCATAATTTTAACCATTTCATGTAATCACTTTCTGTGAGATAGCTTTTATAGTAATTAAACACTTCAGTTATCTGGTTCCTTTCACCTTCACTGTGAACACTTATAATTCTAAAGTTTATAGTTAAAGTTATAACTTAGACTAGAACCATGCATTTCACATCAAACCACATTTAATGACTTTATTTGCCTCCTCATGATTTATTATCCAGAAATTTTGAAAATCGGTGAAATTCCCTTTTAATGACAGTTCAAGGACAGTTTTGTTTTGTTTTTCTGTGTCGTCAGGACTTTGTGGATGCTCCCTTGACAATCCCTGCCTGTTTTACCAAGAATCTGAACATTGACTGGCGTGAATATCAGGTGAATGGACATGCTTTCCATAACTGTAGTGCACCATATTCATCAGTTTAAACTTCTTTAGAAATGAAATTCCTAATGTAAAATGAGTTGATTTTCTAGTTGTCTTCTATAGCTGTAATAAGCTGACCTTATTTCCACTCCTGCTTTTTCTATTTGGGCAGCAGCACCACATGCTGCATTAGTAGCTGGTTCCTCTGCAGCAGATGTTTGGAGTTTAATTAGTCTCTTAGAGCCATCTGCTGGTAGAGTGTGGAACTGCAAACACTGACAGATCATAACTGAGCTTCTGTCATAAATTTGATCTCTGTTATCTTTGAAAGAGAGAGAGATAAAAATCGGATTGAATTTCCTGATTCCAAATGCATGCGTACTTCAAGCTTTTAAAAGTTATGTCTAAGAAACATTCTTTCAACTTATTTTCCTGATCATATTCTGTTTAGGTCAACTATTGTTGAATTTGCAATAAATAATTGTAAAACCGGTAGAAACTGTTTTTTTAGGGTGTGAAATTTTGTGTTTTCAGTCCTCACATCACAGCACACACCACAGAATTGAGCCTGTCATCACCATAGCTACACCTCATTCAGCCATAAAGCCATATTTATAAATTTTCTGCCATATTTGGTTAAAGTTTGTAATTGTTGCTCTCTCTGAGTGATAGTTTGCCCAGATTAATTGTCTCAATCAAATCTTAAATTGGCATACCCTACCTGCCAAATGACTTGACATTTTGCTCAGAGGGTACTCGATGAAATCAGTGGGAATGTACAATGATATTGGAATTAAACCAGTATCAACAGATATTTGCTCAAAAAAGTGTCGCTTTTGGACAGATGTTTAGCTTTGACCGATGTTTTAAACCAATAGTTGATGACTTGTATTTATTGCACTCTGGAAGAACAGAATGTTTAAACAATGCTGGCCTGCACTGCTGAAATTTCTATACATGAGTTTTATTCATTTTAATGCATTTGTAACGCTCTAAAAAATGTTATATTTATCTGTGATGGTAATTCAGATAGATTTAGTCCTAGTTTTTAGGTTTTATAAATATCCTGTGTCTGCATAAGAATCAGCATTGGTAAATATATACAAGAAAAAAGATCTGATATCTGCATCAGCCTACAATTCACTCACGGTGCATCCCTAGAAATCAGTCAAATACGTGCTATATCTGTCCATTAATTAAAATCGCTTAAAACGAGCATGGTTATGGCCTTTGGCTCTGTATAGTCTTCCAGTAGAGATAATTTTGGATAGGGCCTTTTTGCGGAGTGCCTGGGGTTTTGTTTTAAACCTTAGTAATTTTTTCTGTTTGACAGAAGATATTCATATTATTTGTGTATAATTATTAACTGGTCCTCTTCTGTTTTTATCAGTCATGGGACCTGGTGCAGCAGACCCAGAATTACCTAAAGCTGCTTCTGCACATCATCAACAGTGATGGTATTTGCACATAAACATTCACCATATTTTGTCGGACTGTGTTACTGTCTCTAAATGCTGACAGTGCTCGGTGTGTATGACTGTCAGTGTTTGAGTAGTATAATACTGGATGTGTGGATCTGTCATGTTTTCTTACTGTGTGTTGCAGATGAGAGTGGACTGTTGGTGCACTGTATATCAGGCTGGGACAGGACTCCACTCTTTGTGTCCCTTCTTAGACTTTCTCTGTGGGCTGTAAGTATCTATCTCTCTCATCCCCTCCATCCTGTGCTGCTTTCCATCTCTTTCTTTTTCTGTATGTCACAGGTCTGTCTCCATTTGTGGGCAGCGGTCTGCTAGCTTTTATCCTTTCATCTTTTTTCCTTCTACCATCTCTCAGTATCTGCTGTGTCTGAATTCGTATCATTCTGTTTCGTCAGCTTTAGGAATTTCTTCTAGGAATGACATTTGAAAAGATAAATGTGATAAATTTTAATTTAAGTATGTGTGCTTTGTGTAGGATGGTGCTGTTCACGTCAGCCTGGAGCCAGCAGAGATTCTGTACCTGACCATCGCTTATGACTGGTTTCTCTTTGGGTGAGAAATATAATAACAATAATAGTAATAAAAATAGTAAGTCTAGAAATAAACATGCAGCATGTATTATTTGTTAACCCTTAATGAATATGCGTAATGGTGCTGTAAAATTTAACCCATTAATAACATGCTAACATGTCTAATTTTTAATGCCACAGATTATTTTTATTCTGTTTAATGCCGCATTTTCCTTGTTTGACCCTTCAAACCATATTTAGAAGTGCAGGCTATGACTCCATGATGGTAGTTCTCTCATTTAAGTACAGCTCATAAATGGCACTCTTTTTGAAAGTCATTGACAGCTACTGCTGTGTTGACTTTTTTAGTGAATCTGAGGTGTCATTTACAAGCAAAATGCATCACTGATACAGACAATATAAGTAATTCAGCACACTACACTGATCAGTACTCACGGGAAATCAACAAGCAACAGACTAACAAAAGTAATAGCACAGTGGAAAGCTGACATTCCTCACGAGAGCCTCCACTGTAACAAGAACACTTTATGAATGAGAACTACAGCGAGAGGCTACAGTCATTTAGGAGCTGAAACTGAAGACTGTACATGGACCATTCTGTCCAAACAGCAGTCCCACAGTACAATTAAGCATTCAGATATTTACAAGGATTATATTAAGATTTTTTTCAGCGCAAGACATTACTTGGCATAGTAATAAGCAAAATATATACAAAATCATCAATTATGGGGTATTTTCTGTTGGGAGGTGGCTATCCTAAACCCTAACCCCTAAAGTTTAAAGTCCAAGTCAGTCAAAGGACTTTGAACCAATTGGGTAGAATGATCCACATTCGTTATGTGTTGCAGCCACTGTTGCTCTCAGTGATGAAAATTTTAAACGTTCACCTTATAGAAAACACATCATTTTCATGTTTAGGTTCATGTGAATACTTTGTTTACATTATGACAATGTTAGAGAATTGAAAGTGTTAAATGCATTCAGATAAAGCTCATTTTGTCTGCTCATATAGCTATAACAATATGCTTTGCCATTAATCACAGTCCACTACCCGAAATAATGCAGTTAAGTGCGAGATTTAATTTGGTTAATTGTTTGACTGTCCTAATGTACAATAATAGTAGTAGAAGTAGTTATAACTATTAGAGATGGACATGAAGTGAGAATTACTTTTTGAACACTTGAAAAATTGCAAATATGTGCAAACATTGCAGATTATAGTACAGAAGGGTAAACTGTATTTTGTGTACTTGTATATCCCTTTAAACTGCAAGGCAGAAAGTCTGGGTTTTTGAACAAAGCATAATCTTTATTTTTAATATTTACAGAATTACACTACATTCATTTTTTTCTTTGTAAATGCACCAGAGCAAGTGACTTCAGATGAGTCTGAAGTAGGCAGTAGTAAGTGCAGACAAAATGCATATAGATGAGATGGTGAGGGGAAAGAGAAACAGAATGAGAGTGCAGTGAAAAAGAGGAAGGACAGAACCAGAAAGAATGGAGAAAAATAGAAGGGCAGTCGGTGTGCTGCAAGCTGTTGGTCTATTCTTCAATCGATGCGTGTCTAGAGAGTTTCCTTTTCTTTGCTGACTGTTACTGTGTGTACTCTCAGACACACACTTACACACCAGCACTCGCACAGCGCAGTAATTATGGTGCACAGATCTCAGCCAAACTCCTGGGACCCTGGCCAGCTCTGGCATTCAGAGAAAGAGGAAAGGAGCTAAGGCGCAACGGGAAGAGAGAAAGCTCAGGTTATCTGAGAATAACTCTAACTTTAAATGAGAGAAGAAAGCTTTTATAATTAGGCTGTATGAGAGACGGCTTTGTGAGCAGAGTTTGTGTATTGATTTTTTTTTCCCCTTTTAACCTCCACTTGCACTCTTTCAAAAGAAGTTTGTTGTTCCGGCCGGATAGAATCCTGTCATTTCTCTAAGCACTAAACAGCTGTCTGTTCGTAGTGTCAAAAATATTGCTGCAGGTTGTAGCACAATGAATGATGTGATTCATGTATTAATTTGCTGTAGATCAGTGGTCACCAGCTCTGGTCCTGGAGATCTACCTTCCTACCTTAATTTCATCTTAGTTCCAGCCGCATCTGTTCCAGCTAATTAACCTCTTCCCAAGTGCCTGATTGGTTGGATCCGATGCATTAGTGTTAAGTAAGGAGGTGAGGCAACTTATTAGATACAGGTTGAAACTAAGTTCTGCAGGAAGGTAGATCTCCAGACGGAAGGCTGTAGACCACTGTGGTAGATTATTGTCTGTTTCAAAAATGTCTCTGTTGTAATCAGTGAGTTTTTCCTCTTTCTATAGTCACATGCTGCCTGATCGTCTCTCTAAAGGGGAGGAAGTAAGTCTGAAAAGTTTGACCCTTGATGATGTATTATGCTTTCATAATCATAAAAGTCTGGAAAGTTAAGCAATATGCCATTGTGTAATTTTTCATAGGCTATTATCATCTCATTAAATCGGTATTTTTGTATGGTAAAATTGCTGTCTGTTTGGGAATTGGCATTTTTTAGGACATTGTTTTTGTTTATGGTGTAAACAAAATTCTATTTATTCATATCTAATAGTTTGTCTTTCTTTTTTTTATGACAGATTTTCTTTTTTTGCTTCAATTTTTTGAAGCACATTGTCTCTGAGAAGTTCTCAGTCATTAGGAAGCAGAGGTGGGTACTTAAACCTATTAGTAATATTTTACTTTTTGGATACCGCAGTATTCCTAGAACAATATATGAATGAGTTAAACTTGTAAAGACAACTTTTTGACCTCTATATGTTAGAATCCAGTAACTGCAACTGATTGCTATTACACAGTGAGGAAGCCACAAATGCTCAAATGAAGAGTAATCCGTTCATGATTATAATTATGTAGTGTAATGCAGTTTGTAGGCTCCTCAAACTCAAAGTTTTCACACTGACTGCAGTGCTTCAGACCCCGCTGTGGTTAATACACTTTCTTTCATTCCTTCTTTGATGTCACTCTCATTCGTTCTCTGTCATGATCACCTTACCCCCTATTTTGTTCATAATTTTGCTCTTGCTGAGTGTCTCAATCATTTTTTCTCCTGTTGTGTCCTCCATCTTTGCTCTGTCTATATCCTCCTCTGTGTCATTCACTTTTTTTTTTTCTCTCTCTCCCTTTCTGTTGCTCTCAAAGGAGGAAAAACTCTCAGTTCAAAGACACTGATTTCACAGTGGATGACCTCTGCCAGCTAAGTAAGTCTTGTTTCTTGTCCTCTCTCTCTCTCTCTCTCTCTCTCTCTCTCTCTCTCATGTATGTAAACATTATTGAAATTTCAAAACATACCATTGATTTGCCAGTCCATATATAGAAGTTAAGCTGCAAAAACAGCCTGTTTTGAATTCAGTATTTTTGTGACGTCACTAAAAACCAACACATTTATGTATATCTGTCTATTTAGCCTACAGCAGCTTAGCCCCGCTCATTCACACTGAAGTTAAATGCAGTGTTTTTAGTATGGACTGCTTTTGAGATGCACAACAGGGCATCCAGTCCGAGGTCATTTTTATCAGTCTTCAAGGCACAGTAACAGAAATCAGCCTGTTTAGTTCTGATAGATAGAGAAAGGTTGTAAATGTTAATGTAAAAATCTATTTTTGTTTTTAGTACATAAACCCATGTGTCATAATGGGCCAAATGTAAGAAACAAAGCCTTTGAAAGTTTTCGCTATAGCACATTAGTTATCTTGTGTCTGGCTGTAAGTGTGTAATCATATCTGGTTAAAGCTTTTATTTCAAAACTCTGTTTTGTATATTAATTGTCTTGTTTAGTTTTTTCACTCTTACTCTCTTTCTCTCAGAGTCCAGAGACAGGGGCAGTGTGACCAGTCTGAGTAGTGATTTCTCTCTGATAACTGAGGATACAAGTGCTCCCTCCAGTCTGCCTCCTGAACCTGTAGACCTGATCTCCATTGGGCCTCAGGCCTCCAGCGGGTAAGTATGAATTAACAATGAGTGAAGTTGATTGTTTTAATTTAAGATGTTCAAAGCACTTTATTATATCTGGGTAGTATGCAGTAACAGTATTCTACGGTCAGCTTTTTACCAAGGAGCACTTTTTTATACCCTCTTCTTTTCTTTAAGTCTACAAAGTATGTCTTTGTACCAGCAGTTTGGCCTGCAAGCCTGTTTTCTGGACAGACATTTATTACTGTAACATTTACAAAGTAGTGCATTTTTTGTTCATTAGAATCTAGATTAAGACTTGTTGAAAATTAAATGATAGATAATGTTGCTAATTTAGCTAATTTTGTGATTAAAAAAAAAACTCCCCATCACTAGTTGTGCAGGTGTGCAGACTGCTTTAAACTAAAACAGCTCTGATGCAGCAATCTTTACAGCATGCCTCCGAACTATACAAAAGTATACCAAGTTTGAACTTTTCACTGCCATCAAACTAAATTTTCCATTTGGGAGCTTTATCTGTGTGTGAGAAGGCCATTTAGCTGCTGGCTGTTTTGCTGAACATCCATTTTAGTATCCTGTTTAAATGGCAGCATGTGAAATCAACACACTTGGCTTTAATTTGATGGTGCAGTATTGGCTTATATTGCTGGGCAGTGCACTGCCAATATTTAGCTGAGCCTGATATTGGCTGTTTTGTACTTTTTAACCCACGATATTTACATTTACTTCTGCAAGAGTACAGCAAATGCAGAAGAATTTAAAAAACAGTTCTTAACTAAACAGTAAGACTTGACAACTATGCAGATTAGTTATTTAGCAAGGTTAGTTAGGCTTTTTGTGACAAGTACAGCGAGCCAGTAAGCTTTTTTTTTGTCCTGCTCTATAAATATATTATATTTTGAGGCCATTGAAAACAATGTGCATATTTTTTTTCACAAATAATAAATACAAATAATAAAGTAGTAGGCTTCTCGTTTGCTCCTAAATCAAAATCCTGGTAGCATTTAAAAAGAAGAGCGAGTGATACTTGGTACGTTGTATTATAGTTGTTAATAATAGTACTCCACCAGTACTGAAGCAGCCATCCAGTGTTACTCCTATTGATTTACAAAAGGTGCTCATTTGTGTTTGTCTCCTCACAGGAGGAAAGCTATGAACTCGTCTCCTCAGACTGTGTTTTGGAACCGGCCAGTCCCATTTGAAGAGCGACTACCTCATCCACTCACAGAGGGCAGGTCCTCTAGTTCCTCATCCTCCAACCAATCAGAGCAGGGCTTAATTCGGACAGGCAGTAGCCCTTTGGCTGTGCCAGGGAGAAGGTGAGTGCTTAAGTGTAGTTGTCTGTACGTACTTGGGATGCTCAAAAATCCACAAAGCTTAGAAAGTCTGAAGTATTTAACTTGGTAAATCCCTTGAACCAGTGATCCTTATTTTTTATTATTTAGTAGATATTGTCGTGATGTAGTTGTTTAAGAAAAGAGAAGAAGTGAAACACAGTATGACTAGAGGGTGTACTGATGTGGCTGTTTGGCTTGTTTACCCATTAAAACCTCTCCAGAACAAAGAGATAATTCTGCCCATTTGTTCTGTGGTTGGGCAAGTATCTATAGCCAGTATTTCCTCCAGGTTGAATGGATCTTTTGTAGCATTTCTTTCTCATAAGAGAGCTTCTGTAAACTGTCATGATGTGTTTCTCAGCTTTCCTGGTAATTTTATTGACACATTTAATTGCCTGTCAAACGATTATTATTGTAACCACTGCTGGTAACCAGCAGGGGCCTCCCTAACCTCAGGGGTCCTTTCAGTTGCATGATTTGTTTGCTGGCAGATGATTTTATCTTTGACACTTTGTGCATTGCAAAGCATTTGCAAGCTATGCTTTGCTTCTTAAAGGCTGCACCTTCTCTGTTTGCCTTTGTTTGAATTTTAGTAAAGGTTTCTCAGGCCTTATTTGGTGCTTAAACAGTAAATTGTTCAATCCATAATATGTACTGTACTATGTGCATGTGTCTGTTTTGTTGCATCTTCTATACTTATGTCTTTTGGTATGCGGGTATGCTGGGCTGTTCTTCATTTTTAGTAAACTGTGTACAGGCCGTAATATTGCACTTTAACCGAGCTGGTTTGGTGTTTATAATACTTCTGTTTATGAAATTAGACCCACATTTTCAAATTGTGGGTGAATGTGAGAGACGTGGGCTGTTCAGGTTCATGTTGGGTACAATCAAATGTACCTCTTTGGACTTTTGAGCAGATTATTTACTTTGGTTATAATATATAATGTTATATGTATTATATATAATAGTATATCTAAGATGCATGTCACGACATTCTTGTATGTGGTCTGCCCGTTTAACTAGCTGTCTTTGACAGTTTTAGTCCACTTTGTACTTTATGATTGTTGCAGGGGTAGAAAATGACCAGTACTGTTGAGGATACCAGTCACCACACTTGGCACACTTGTTTAAAAATGTGGGGTCAGTCAGACAGGGACATTTACCATTCTTGCTGGCCTACTTAGTCTAATAGAAACGGTCTGGAACTTGATGTTACTGAAACAAACAAATACAGAAGCAACCCATGCCACCATATCAGTCATTGTGGCTGAGGTGTTTAGGTTCTTGTCCCATCTTGTCTCTGTCCTGATAGACTTTTAGAAAGCCATCATGCAGAGCCATCTTGTGTTTGTATGTGGTTCAGGTTCACTACTGTTAAGTCTTTTCAGTCATCTAGCCCTCTGATGAAACATCACACATATTAATTGGATTTTTTCTGTGTAGGCTATCCTGTACATGAGCGCATGTGAAAACCATACAAAAGCAGCAGTAAGAGAGAGAATTTTTTGTTTGTTTGTTTTGTTTTGTTTTTTTTTGTTCACAGCAAAATCCTGGAGTGATTTTCTGTGTTTGTGTGTGTGTGTATGCATGTTCTCTAAAGTGCTGAAACTGCTTGAACAATACAGAGAAACATAGATTTCTACATTTTACAGACTTACAAGAACTGCTGAATAAAATTTGGAGCCCTTTCACTCTCCCCATTGCCCTGCTAGTGCTGTCACCCTCATTTCCTTCCCCTGACCCTTTCTTTTTGCTTTTATCACAGGCTGTTTCTTATGTGTTTGTCTCTGTCTTTGTGTTTATTCTATTTAACCTAAAGCACCTATCTGCTCGTTTTTATGATTTTCTTCTATTATCCTTGTTTTTTGAGATGTTTTTACTGTGAACTGCCAGAGAAAGAATCATGGCACAAGTGACGTCAAATCTGCCAAAGTATCAGTCAGAGATAGCAGTATGTATACATCAGCTCCTCACGTATCTTTTCATCATATAAAGTCACTGCTTTGCTGCTGGATCCTACTATAAGCGATTAACTTCATTTATGAGTGTGATTAATAGTGGTCACACTTAAATGAAGGAATAAAATACTATGTTGGCTACTCCCAACTCCCATCAGGGCTCACAGTATTTCTGTGCAATTGTTTTTATAGATGTGGCACACAAGAAATTTCTCCACTGTTTTCTGCTAATATTACCATGCCAACTCATAATGTGAGCTTGTTTGTCCTCAGTTTCAGGAGCACAGCTCAGCAGTCAGCTAGCTATCCGTTGGTTACGGATACAACATTGGTGCTGCTGAGCACTCCTATATCAGACGCAATATAGCCGTGATAAACCCATCATAAAATGAAAGGCTGAGTTCTCCAACATTATCTGCAAATTCTGGACTGTAAAATGATTATTCGACAGCTTGTTCGTTATTTTATACTTCATGCTCACCATTTAGAGAGCAGTTGAGAAGAGCGAAGTGTTCTGTTTTTCTGCAAGAAGCTCAAACATCTGAACCACTACAATTTGCAGTGTCGCTCTGCAGATGCTGAGACGCCACTGTCAATCATTATACGATCTGACACGCCCACACAGTTAAGAGCTGGCAGCAGCTTGGATTTTTTGATGCATTTATGTATCATCAAAATGCAGTAATTTACGTATGCTTATTAAATTTGACACTACTAAATGCTTAATTAACAGCAGTCTTTGCTATTAAAACAAAACTAAATTTGAAACTGTTTTGACAGGGGCTTACGTTCTGCTTTCTACTTTTACTTTTTGTATCTTGCTCTTTTTCTCTACTCTTTTCTTGCTCAGCCTTAACATATGTTAGCATTCAAGTGAGAATAACTTAACTGCAAATCAGTTCTCTCTCTCTCTCTCTCTCTCTCTCTCTCTCTCTCTCTCTCTCTCTCTCTCTCTCTCTCTCTCTCTCTCTTTCTCTCTCTCTCTCCCCCCCTCTCTCTCTCCCTCCCTTTCTCTCTCTCTCTCTCTCTCTCTCTCTCTCTCTCTCTCTCTCTCTCTCTCTCTCCCTCTCTCTCTCCCTCTCCCTCCCTCTCTCCCTCTCCTTCTCCTTCTCAGGTCTATGGTGGAGTATGCTCGTTCTGGCTCCTCACTCTCTACAGAGTATGGTAGTTGGCAGATCGTTTCAGGCTGTGGAAGTATCCATGACGCTACTCCTCTCCCGACGGAGTCACCCCTGCCCTTCAGCTTCCAGGACGAGGGTCCTAGCGGCCGCATGTGAGTCTCGCACACTTTTCCACCCTACCCTACCCCACACGTTTCCTTTTCACCACTGCTTTGCTGCTTTTCTCTGCTTTACCCCTCCTCTTAGTCTGGCAGCACAGGGCTGGGCCAGTGAGAGGGCTGCTCTGACATGAGACTTTGATGTAACACAGGTCATGTGTGTGTGAGAGAATTCCTGTGTGACTTTTTGTGGGTGGTTATGGGTTTAATTCTTCAGTAGCACTGCTCCAGGTGCTTTGCATGTGGTACTAATCCTTTTTATGGAGTTGTAATTCTGTAACTGTAATATGCAAACTTCAAAGGACTGATGGGTATGAAAGGGGTCTGTAATTGTGCCAGTGGTCTTGTGCATGGTCAGAGTTCTGGATTTGAGTAAATGTATGTTGGATTTGGAGTAATTCTCAAAATTGAGCATCTGATGGAATGAAATGATGAGGCCAGCTGAAAGAGGAAAATCAGATTTCAGTATCTCTCTTTGTCTCTCCTTCATTTGTTTCTTCTGTTTTCTCAGAGTTGCTGAAGGATTCTCTCTTTCTGCTCGATCAGGCACGCAAATTGAGTGCGTCTCCTCAACAGTGCACGCAGTTATCTTCTGCAAATAACATCTATCTGTCTCTGTTCAGAGCAAAATAGAGGGGGGGAAGAGAACGATATGAAGAGATGCACCCAATTATTTTCTTAATTACAAAATGCGCTCTAAATCTTACCATGTTAAGAGCTGTGTAATAAAGTAACTGAGATAGAAATGAGTTCATATTGGAAAAGCAATCGCTATTTTTTTTTGTTGTTTTGGGTTGTTATAATCTCTCTCTCTGTGTCTCTCTCTCTCTCTCTCTCTCTCTCTCTCACTTTCCCTGCCTCCCTCACTTTCCCTCCCTTTTGCCTCTCCCACCTTTTCTCTCACTCCCTCCCTCACTTTCCCTCCCTTTGCTTCCCTTCATCTTTGTCTATCTCTCTTTCTCTCTCCTGTCTCCATCTCTCCCTTAACCCCCCTTTTTGGCTCTCACTCTGTCCTTTTCTCTCTTTCTTTCTCTATTCATCCCTCCTTTTCTCACTCCTTCTTTTTCTCCTGCTTACTCCTTACTCTCTCTTTCTCTCCATTTCCTTCCTCTGTCTTTGTCTCTCTCTCTCTCTCTCTCTCTCTCTCTCTCTCTCTCCTCCCCATTTTACCCCCCCCCGGCTCTCCCTGCGTCCTTTTCTTTCTCTTTCTCTCTCTTTCTCTATCCATCCATTCCTCACTCTTTCCTCCTTTTCTCTCATCCTTCTTTTTCTTCTTTCTACATCCCTCGCTCTCCCTCTCTTTCACTCCGTTTGCCTCCCCCTCCTTTTCCCTCCCTTCTTCCCTTTGTCGTTCTCTCTCTGTGTCTGTAGGTGTATGTATGGATCAGAGAGGCAGGCTCGGTTGGAGGCGGTGAGGGAGCTGTTTTTGGCGGCCTACAGCTCCACAGTGGGGTTGAAGTCTTCCTCTCCCAGCTCGTCCGGGGCGATCTCTGGGCTGCTGGAGCAGTTTGCACGTGGTGTTGGCCTCCGAGGCACCAACACCATTGTCTGAGTCCAACCCCTCCTTTCTTCCTTTCTGTCATTTGTGCTGTCCTCTCTTATTTCTGTCTTTCCGTCCTGCGTGTGTGATAGCGATGAATCACCAAGAGAAGTGTTCCCAGTTCTCTCTCATCTCTTCAGTTTGACATTTTCCTTTTCACTCCATCCTGATTTATCATCCACCGTATTTGTCTTATGTAGTACATGTGTATTTTAATACCTCTCATAAAAGATCACATCTGTGTTCAAATCCAGAAGCAGTATATTGTTCTTCACAAATAGCCTCCAAAGAAATCTGCCACCCACCTGCTGTTCTCTTTTTTCCATTCCCCTCATTTCCCTCCATCCCTCTATATGGACACCATTTTACTTGGACTTACAAAGGAGAAGAAAAGTGCCAAACTTTAACTCTGGGGCTACCTTTTATTTTTGTTTTTCCTTTAAAATTTTTATTTACTACTTTTGTTTTTACACACCAAATGTGACTGTTCAGGTGCCTCTAGTAAATTTAAGCTTAAACATAATTAACACTACTTTCCCCCTGTCCTTTGTCCCCTAGTTTTGCCCTTGCTTGTTTGTATAGTCAAGGCAGTAAGATGTGAGGGCATGAATGAAAGAGTAAATACAAAAAGGGAAAAGGGTTTCTTTCAACTCTCTTCATATTGCTGAAGCCATATTGCTGCCCCAAGAAAATGGCTCTTGGAAAAAAAATTAAAATGTCATGTCTAAATGGACCTCCAAGGCTGTGAAGGAGAAAAAAGATGAAAAGAAACAAGAACATGTCAGAACTACAGCCTGCCCACAGGTGTGTAACTGTAAGAGGAAAATCTTGTCTCTTTGTCTTCCTTTGGGACAAACTCTGTGTGAAAAAGCTGCTAGTCATGTTTCAGCCCTGATATTTGTTTAGAAACAGCACTTGGGAAGTAGAAATGTGGCAATGGTGTTTCTTTTTTCTAGGGAAAATTACCATTTATAAATAGATTTAGAGAAATTGTCCTTTTGTTTACTTTTATTACCTCTTTTCCTTGTCTTAACATACTAAATACCTAAAACTTAAGATTGATCTGAAAAATTCTGAAAAGTGAAAAATTCTGCTGTGTCTGGCCTGGAGGATGGTTGGTCTGTCTGATTTAACCAAGTGGGAGCTAAGGTTTCACTGCAAACTTTCCCATGTAAGACAGGTTAGCAGTTCAACCTTTTAAACTCAGAAATCCAAGCCCATCATGCAGTTGGTCATGATTCAATATAATTGTTTGTTAGATGTTTTATGTAAAATTGTGCCCCTATTCTTAATTTGGTATTGCTGTACTGTTCATATTTAGGCTTCAACAAGCATAAAAGTAGCAGACTTAGTAACTGGCAGTTCTCGAAAAACCCTCCAAAAACTAGGAAATGGTTCTAATTACAATCACAAGATCGCACCTGTTAACACAGTATATACTCCATGCTCACTGTGAGGTCAGTTCTACTACTGCACACACTTTCGTCAGTTCCTTTCTAGCCCTTAAGCTTGCTGAGTTGGCTGTTTTGGTCAAACCCAGACGTTTGAATCTACAGTAACATCAGTAAATGTAAAAGCATTAGCAAATATTTTCCATCAGATCTATGATGTTGTAACTGCACCTGATAATGCAATGCAACCACTATCACCACTCATCTGTATCTCACAACTGTTTTGATTACTTGTGGGGTTTTGACAGATGTTTTAGTCTAAAGGTGACAGGTGGCTGAATATGAAGCGAAGGTAGCACTTAAAGTTCAGCATTTAGAACTTAGGATTTGTTTGTCTTCTTAATGCCAAACAGTTTCAATGCCTTTTTACCTCAGGACCATGTGTTGTGCCTTTTTTGTTTTTAATATGGGGCTCGATTTTTTTTTTTAAAGTGTCTTTTTTTTCTGGCAATTATAGTATGTATCTTGAAATTCAAATGCTTGATTTTTTTTATTGCTTCAGACTCTTCATGGGTTGGAACACTTCTTGAATAAGCCTGTTCTGGCCTTTAATCCCCTCACGTTTGCTTTTGCAAGATTTGCTGTGTTTATTTTTTTGGTTATACAGATTGTTGCAGAAATGTTCTCATTCAGTCAGACTTTCCAAAAGCTGATTATGTTTGGACTTACCCCATGCTGGGTACCTCCAAGAACATTTCTGAGCTTTCTGCGGTCACATTGATCAAAATGAATTTTTGTTTATCATGCCCACATCACTAGATCACTATTTTCAGAGATCTGTCCCACACATGCACAGTTGTTGTACACACAAAAGTGGGTATCCAGCATTAAAATGATTATCATAGGAGTTGAGCATTTTGCATGAACTTGCTCCTTTTTTCCTTTGTTTTCTGTCACCCAACTCAAAAATGTAAAGTTGGGACTTTTTTCAATGTGGAAAATGAACGGTTTGACGTTTAACTTGAAGATATACTTTTAATTATAATCTGTTTCTTTTTCTGTGTTGTATAAGGAACTGCTCATTTGCACTCATCCTTTCATAACTGTAGAGAGTGGTGCACCCTTTTTTTGTTTGTACAGGCTTTGGTTTTAATTTTAACTTTATTGATTCTCTATTAATATTCCCCTTACTGTGGCCAAGGAGACGTGGGACACAGAGGGTTATGTTCTTCCGGTGGAAATAAAAGGAATCAAATCAAATGATTTCTCTTTGTCTTGATACTGAATTACGAACAAGTGAATAATGCAAACTATTTTTCTTTATTCTTATATTTAAGGAATGGCTTGATCTACTGCGGGGGTCCCCAGCTCGGGAGTGCCTCTGTCCTGCATACTTTGGTGGTTTCCCAGACTCTAACACACCTGACCCAACTAATCAGCTAGTTAATAAGCCATTCTGCTTTAGAACAGTGAATACAGTAAAATGTGTTGGAGGGTTTGCCACGACTACAAATGGGATGATAAGGTATTACCAAGACTTACAGTGTCCTCCACAAATATTGGCACCCCTTTTAAACCTGAGGAAAACAGGCTGTAAAAAACATTATTGCTTATCCTTTTGATATTTCATTCAAAATATTAACAAAAAATCTAACCTTTTTGAAGTACAATTAAGAAAGACAACAATCTTGTCAAGAAATCTGTGTGCTGCCATTATTAGCACCCTTTCGTTTAATACTTTGTGCAGATTCCCTTTGCGAAGATAACAGCTGTGAGTCTTCTTCTATAATGCTTACTGATACTGGAGAATACATGGCAAAGAATCTGAGACAATTCCTCCATACAGAACCTCTCCAGAGACCTTCAGATTCTGAAGTCCACACTGTGGAGTCTCCTCTTCAGCTCATCCCACAGGTTTTCTATAGGGTTTTGGGCAGGGGACTGGGATAGTCATGGCAAAACCTTAGGTCTGTGGTCAGTGAATTATGTTGGTGGTGTTTTTGAGGTGTGCTTTGGGTCATTGTCCTGCTGAAAGATCCAAACTATGGTCCATTTTAAGCTTCCTGGCTGGGGCAGTCAGAGTTTCTTTTTTTGTGGTTTCAGTAGCATATTGCTCTTACTAAAAATAGATTTTCCCCTCTCAGTCGGGATAGGTTTTAATTTTGTTGTGCTAAATAACACTGAGAATTGCTATACCATCACCCTGAGCATGTGACAGAGGGGAATGTGACGGGTTAGAATATGTCATGCAAAACTCACTGGTGCCCTCCCCGTCAAAGTTAGACCTTCTATTGTCATTTTTTTGTCCAACAATAAATTGTCCAAAACAATGAATATATATATTTGACACCCTTGGTCAAACTGGACGTTTTGTTGATTTTCTAAGTGAACGTTTCCTCTTCAGAGAACACACTTTTGCACATTTTAGTTCACAATTACTAATTATTTGCTGAATTTAACAAATTGGCACTTGCAAAAGTTATGCCACCGTTTATATTTTTTTATTTTTATATATTTATTTATTTTTAAACTTTTGCATACGACTGTATATATTTTGGCGTGCCAAAAGTTTGCTCATAAAATTACTTCTATTTAGTGATGTTTGAGATATGACTTCAATGACTGTCTATATAGGCTAGTAAAAAATGCCTAAAAAATTAAGACCATAACTCTTCACATGCTTGGCTAACGATGGACTTTAAATGAATTTCCTTAAACTTTACAGAGGCTTGTTAGAAGGTTTTGTTGGTGGACTGAAACAGGCTGATGAGCTGTAGAGCCCGACTGTGCCTGTGTGTCTGAGGATCTGAGGGAGAGCGCGGAAGGAAAAGTAGTTCCTACCATCAGGTTTATTTTCACTTTTTATTTTTGAGCATCAAATACACACACACCCAGTTTCATAAAAACCTAGATGTTCGGAGTGCTGCCTAAAGAAAACACATGATGCGGACATTGCCGCATCATGAATCGACCCTCAGGATCGAAAGTATCGGTATTTCAGTATCGATCCGCCCTACCCTATCCAGGACCACGATAGAGGACCGCTGGTCTGGGGTGTCGATAAAAAGTCCTCCACCTCCTGTCGGTGTGTTTTTCCTGTGTTCTGTCGCCCCCTGCTGGCTGAGCCGCAGCACTGCGCCTCTCTCGCGCTTCATTCGGCGCTCTGAGCTCGGCGCGCGCGCGCGCGGCGCCACACATGGAAGCGGCTCGTGCGTGAATTGGCGTCACGCAGGTGAAACGCAGCGGCTCGCGCTCCGTCCTCCGCTCACTCCCCTCTGTCTGACTCTGTTCGCTGTGTTTGTGTTTTCCTCGCGCGGATGGAGAGGCGCTCTGGACGAACCTGCTGCTGGATGGAAAAGTAAAAACTTCATTTTTTTAAGGTAAAAAGGAAAAAGCCCGTGCCGCTCGCGCCTCAGCATGGCCTCTATCGGGGACTTCGACCCACTCCATTCTACAGTGCCGGCAACTAAGATTGAAGTTACTGTCTCGTGCAGGTGAGTCTGAGATGTCAGACTGAGATGTGCGTCTAAACGTGTCAGAGGGAGTTTGTGTCAGTACACTTGTAACTGTCGGTGAAGTTAGAACTGCACTGTAAATATAAAAGTGCGGAATGTGCTCCTTTACAGCTTCATCAAAGAATAAAACGACCAAGCTGCTCAGGCTTATTTTTCCTCTTTTCCGTTCCACCTTAAATGGTTCAGCAGGTATGTTCAGGAGCCTGGAGGCACCGGGATGGAAATGCTGCACCATTTAAGGTGGAACGGAAAATTGGAATAAGACGCCAACTTCAGCCTCGTGACAAAATGGGATCCCACTTATAAATTACTGCCAGTGGCGAATATACATTTTTCCTGAAGACTCGTGTATGATTATGATTAAATTATGTTCATACATGTATTTTCTGGCTCGTGCTGGTGGCTGTGTTTCGGCCTCTCGCGCTTTCGCCACACGTTAAAGCGCAGAGCGCGCGGCGATTTGAGGGTAAACACGACCATAACACACACCAGTCTGAGGAAGGAGGAGACGTGCTGTGGTGAAATCCGGGAGAGTTTTAGAGCTGTAAGGAGTTTGCTGTGAGTTGCAGGATATTCTATGGCGTTAGTTCAGGACCGTCCTTTGCTGCAGCGACAGGCTCTACTCTCGCACTAGATGTTGGAGCATAGCTGTGAGGCTCTGATTGCATTCAGCCGTAAGAGCGTTAGCGAGGTCAGCTACTGATGTTGGATGGTTAGTTCTGGATCACAGACGTCACTCCAACTCATTTCAGAGAACGCAGTTCAGTGCTCCAATGCTGAGGGGCTTTATACCCCTCTAGGTGACGCTTGGCGTTAGGCACGGTGACCTTAGGCTCATGTGCAGCTGCTTTAGAGTGTCCAATTCTATTAAAAGTTCTCTTCTGTGTAGATGAATCAAGGAGTTTTGTGTGCAGCTGAACACTTGTTTCAGCAGTGTGTGCTCCATAAAGAAGCTGAATTCACCAGTTATAAGGTGTGTCTGGATACTATTGGACATAATGGTGACTCACTTTAAGAAACGCTTGTTTAGTCCAGTTTTAACAGATGCTTATAGTGTGTCATTTCTAATTAAGGAAAAGAAAATGCTGTAAGTAGGCTGATTACATCACTAAAGCATTTTAGTGGGTAATTAATAAAAGATACATCATATCAGGGTTTTAAACTAGGGTTTACTTTTATGTTTTATGTTTTATAATATTCTGTTGTACAGCATTGCATCCCCCAGCCTCATTAGTTTGACAGAATTCACGATTTACACTACCCAGCATGCATTATGCACATATGTCATATAAACATTGGGAATCCTGCCCACTGTGATAAAGGAATCCACTGATGTTCGGGCTAATCCAGGGGTGTCAAACTCTAAAAGGGCCGTATTAAAAAATCTCAACAAATCTGTGGGCCGGCTGTGCTTTTATTTCATTTTTACTTAACATTTTGCCATGACCTGAACTGGTCATTGTTTCTTCAAAATATGCCAAAACTACAACGGTAAAAATAGGCACTGAATGCCTGAATGATTCAAACATAATTTTAAATAAAAACAAATTGTTTTATATAAACGATTGACTACATTAGCTGCAGATTACTGTTAAACCTTTTTAAATGTCCCCAATGCACAGCAGGGATTTTAGGTTTTTGTGGAGCTGTCCCATAGATCATTGTTGGGGAAGGGGTGGGCTTTGTGTTTGACACATGAGGGCTGATAAATACAGACGTGATATTCAACTTTCTGCCAGTAATGTTAGCTATCTGGCTTCCTTTTACATTTTTAGCTAATGGAAAAAAAAAATCTAACAGCCCACCCTCATGTATCACACCCGAAGTGCTGGAAGTCTTTCAAAGGTTCCTCCCACCTTCAAGATACATCATCAGAAGGAGGTTTTCCTAATCGTCCTAATCTTTAAGCTGGAAAATCTCACTCTACAGACTGTTGTGTGACCACTGTAGGTTGCAAGTAGAAATGTTTGCAACTGTAATGACTGTTACATATTTCATTTTGCTCACACTGTCACTTTAAAGCCGGAATGCTCGGTCAGATCTCTTAGGCTTTCCAGAGAGTTGTAGGAAGGATGCACACACATGCACAGCTCCCTCTAGTTTTTCCCCAGAAACGCTGCCTGCAACAGGGCCTCAGGTGTAGGTCTGTGAATGTGTGTGTGTGTGTGTGTGTGTGTGTGGGACAGCCTATCTGTGGTGGGCAGGAAGGTCCTACTGAATGAGCCTTTTCTCATTTAAAGAACAGTCACAGGGCCACAAAGCTAAATAAACAAAGTGACACTAAGTGGCTGTAGAGATTTCATCATGTGTCACGGACTCCGGTATCATTCCTGAACCATACCTGCCCACACACACACACACACACACGCCTACATGGTCAAAACAGATGCATTAACACTTGCAGTCGATTGCAAATTACAGTTTATATTAAACTGCTGTCACATTCCTCAGGTCGTGCAGATCTCTTTTGTATTTGTAATCGGCTCCCTGTAGACTGCTCACGCTCCCTCATATCCGTCACAGCAGAACAGATGTTTCCACCAGTTTCAGCCCCGCAGATATATTTCCCATCTCTCACTCGGTCTCACAGGGACTCGGCACAGATGTGTACACATGTATCTGGTGTATGAGGGGAACCAGAAGACAGTGGTTACTTACACACTCAAAGACATCTAAAGCCGTTTTTTTCCATCTCTCTCTCTCTCTCTCTCTCCCTAACACGCTCTCTATTCCTCTCTCTCTTTCTCTGCATCACTGTCAATCTTTTTCTGTCTTACCCTCTAGTCTCTCTCTTTCTGTCTCTCTATTACTCTGTCCCCTTCTCTGTCGCTCTTTCTCTTTCTTTCTCATTCATTCTTTCATTCTTTCTGTGTCTCTCTTCTTTCTCTTCCCGTTTATCTCTCTCGTTCTCTCTCGCTTTCTGTTTGTCTCTCTCTTTAGCTCTCTCCCTCCTTCATTCCCGCTCTCTCTCTGTCTCTTCCTCTTTTTTCTATCCATATTTCTTGTTCTCTCTTCGGCTGTCCCTCGCATGCTCCGTATCTCTCTTTATCTTTCGCTCTTTCCTCTTTATCTGTCTGTCTGTCTCTCCTCTCTCCCTCTTTCTCTGTCTTTATCTCCCTCACTCAATTTTTCTCTTTCTCACTTATCTGTCTCTCTTGCTTTGTCTCAGGGTCTTTCTTTTTGTCTTTTTCTCTTTCTTTCCTTATCCCTGTCTTTCTTTTTGTCTTTCTTGTGGATACCTCTCTCTCTCTTTAATCTCTCTCTCTCTCTCTCTCTTTCTCTCTCTCTCTCTGTCTCTCTCTCTTTCTCTCTGTCTCTCTCTCTCTCTCTCTCTCTCTCTCTCTCTCTCTCTCTCTCTCTCTCTCTCTCTCTCTCTGTCTCTATCTCTCTCTTGCTGGAGTGAAACAGAAGATAAATGAATGAAATGTGTTCCTCAATCACAGGAAATCTAAAAAAACATGTTACTTATAGCCCCCCACACACTGACATCTCTGCGTATGCCAACATGCAGGATTATGAAGATGATTTACGTTTAAGAGCAGAACTAATCTTGTGTGCTACAGTGCGAGGAGTGTACAGGAGCAGCGGCAGTGTTACTCACTCAGACTATAACATAAGTCTCCTATTCAGAAGAGCCTTAGACCACTGAATTTTAGAATGTACGAAAATACATGATGATGGTGTCAGTTACGTATGTTTGCTGAAAGAGTTGTCTTTAATGGAGAAAGGCTGCATTATGGTCTTTATGCTTTATTTGGCAAATCTGAACTTTTGTCATCATTCTGTAAATTGTTGCAACAGTTACTAACTAAGAATAGATGGGTGGAAAATGGATAGTTTAATGAAAGCTTTTTCCTAAAAAAAAGATTGAAAGTCTACCACTTACTGTTATAAAAGTGCTGATGCTGGATCTGAAAACCTACCTGCAAACTCTGATAAATGCCAGTGGAGGAAGAATAACAGTCTGTTCAGGTCAGGCTCTAAATGCCAAAACTCTGTCATACAAGGAAAAAAAACTCTATGATGATGCAAATTTCTGCAAGCACTCTTATTAGATTTTAGAAGTATGTTGGTAAAGATGATTCACATGAACATTTTTTGACCATGCTAGTTTAAACTCTGACATTGGAAGCTTGCAAAAGACATTCATGTTTCATTTGAAGCTACCAGACATATTAACATTTATTTTACCTTGTGTGTAGCAGTTTTACAGTGACTCAGGGATGTGGGAAGTGGGAGTGCAGAGGGTGTGGCAGCACCCCCAGATTTCTGACCTTGAAAATAATTTGACCTGTATCTGCTTGTTTTAGAGTGGAGTTTGTATTTTTATGTTTTATTCATATATTTTACAAACCTGCAGTATCAGTGCACTATTTACGTTAAGAGTGTAGTTTCATTACAGTGAGCCGAACCGCTTCACTCGCCCACTGCCAGCTGCTTTGGAGGGGCATCACTAAAACACACGCAGGTTGAGCTGCAAAGAAGGAATGTGTGCTCAGAGCTATAGGCTATTTCTATAAAACTATAATGATGTCCCTCACTTTGAATTCATTCCTTTTTAAACAACCATCCCACCATGAGTGTGTTTGGACATCACTCAACTCATTAGAAGTTCATACAGAAGGACCGAGAGATCAGAGAAATCAGGGCGTGCTTCAGTAGATTCGTGGTTTATAGTTATGTGGGTATATTGTTGCCTCTATTATCAAAAACATTTCAAATGAAACAAGGGAAAATCATTTTGCATGACATCACCATTCACATCACAGATATATTGCTTAAAATTTCAGCACCCCTAACTTAAAACACCTTCCCACATTCCTGGCTCCTTTCTGCAGTTTTCCCTCTGACTGTAATGCATTGGTCAGACTACTACTCATACTCGCAGTCAGTGGGCTATTTTCTCACAAAATTGTTCCCACCCATTAGAAATCAAAACATGATTGTTGATTCCACTCTCAGTTCCTAATTATGCTAGTGGGCAATCTGACATGCTAAAACTTCAGTTCAACTCCTGAAGTACTAACATGGCTGTATCTAAATATCACTGATTAAAAAAACCTTTAATCCCTTAACCCTTTTGTGAACTTGTGTGAGTTTAAATACAACAAATATGATGATTAAAAAATAAAATAACTAAAAAAAAAATTGAATATTTTTCTTGACTCACGGAAATCATTAAGCCTAGAAAGCCCTGAAGATTCCACACTGGTGTACAACCTTTACAATATACATTATGTGGAGGTTCTGTAAACTTTAACCCTTTATTTTCCTCACCTCACTTTTTTATTTGTTTGGGGCAATAATAAAAACAAATGTTTTTTTTCTTTTTTGTTTTTTTGAGCGGCATATATAGTGACACAAAATGTCCTCTACCAAATGGTTCAGCAGAACATTAAAGGGTTAAAAAGCTTCTTCACGCATCACATTTACAACAGTGGATTTTTGGGAAACTAAAAGTGGTTCTTGTATGAAATTGCTCCAGATAACCATTTTAGGCAGCTTTATTTTTAAGCCTGGAGTGTTCACTCTTAACAATAAATGCGTCTTGGCTTGGCACTGGTGTTGATAACATTATGTGGAGGTTCTTTAAAAAGGTTCTTCACACTCACAGACCTTATTTACAACAGTGGTACTTTATGGAACCATCAATTGAAAGGTACTTCAGGAAACCAAAAAGTGGTTCATCTATAGCAACACTCCAAAGAACAGTTTTGGCAGCTTTATTTTTTGGTGTGTGGCAGAGGAGCATGTTTGTTGTCTTATGTAAAACCTGATCGCCACCGTAGCTTTATGCACGAGATCCTGTTAGACACACATTGAGCGTAGCTGACACCCCAGAGTGCCACAAACACACACACACACACTTCTTATGAATCTTGCGAATGATCCTGCGATTCACCCAGACACGTTCATCAGTCAAAACCTTGGCCTATTGCATTTACTACTGTATTTAATATTTTGGACATGAAAGCAGCTGTGAGGTTTTTGTAGCTGAGGGGAGTTGAATATGAATGCCACTGGCCTTTCTGTCTGTCTATCTCTCTCTCTCTCTCTCTCTCTCTCTCTCTCTCTCTCTCTCTCTCTCTCTCTCAGTCTCTATCTATCTCTCTCCCTCCTCTCAGCTCCTGCCTCCATGCATGAAGGCAGTTCCCCGCTGGGTTATGGGGGCTCCAGAGAGAGTATATGTGTTTGTGTGTGGTTTGTTTTTGCCCTAGGTGTGCCTTTTGCAAACCTCTTATTATCATACGAGATCGAGGCATTATAGTTATTCTTTGCTGTTGACAAGGCTGCTGTTACTCACATCTGTTTGAGCCAGTACTGTTTTCATAGCCGTACATTTTCCAGATTGACTAAGTGTCTAATTTGCAGGCTGGTCTTTAATAATTAGAGGTTGTTTGGTACACAGGTTGCTGTAACTCAACCCAATTAAAACATAGATGCTTACAAATTACTGCCATTATGTAACAGAGGTATAATTATGTAATATTTTTACCCTTTGTTTGTTAGTCATCCATTACTGGCTCAGGTGTGGTCACATGATGGAATTAATATTGCAACACTGAAAGAACCACTAGAGAGAAAAAGCACGTTTCCAGCCAACAGCCTTTATCTCACATCTAACACAAGTTTGCGTTCCAAAAGCTAGGCTGCAGTTTAGGTGGGCTGCTATGTCATTGAAGGCTGTTTCAATCAGAAGGATCTTTTGAATACAGCCAAGCGATGCAGCCTACATTCTGACAATTTTTGAAGATGCTACCAAAGTACACTTCATGATCTTCTGCCGGCCTTAGTCCTTTGCACACACATTTGACCCAAATAAAATTCTAGTGAAATGTCGGAGTAACGAAAATAGTTGATGCAGGCAAAAGTTGATGCAGGTTCAACTTCTCACGTGTAGAAGTTAAACCTGAAAAATGTTGCCACCGCACATGTTTATTGGATGTTACTATAGTTATGTCCCAGTATTTAGCCTAGCAACCCTTGGGGTGTTTCAGTCAGCAATTGATAGGTGTACCGGATCACATGACCAGGTAGTATATGTGGGTGTACTTAATAAACTGGCAGCTCACAATAAGGTTTGTCTGCAGATGCACGCTTCTCAATCGGTATAGTGTGTTACTATTGTATATTATTTACTTTGCTGCTACGAAACACTAGTACCCTAGCGTGTCATGGGCATGACTGAAGAGTCAGCAGTACAGTGGCTAAGCTAACTGTGATAGCTTAAGCTACAAAGCAGATTTTTCTGTTCTCAGTGTTAACTTGACAAGCCAACATGTTTCCACATCATCATTGAGCAGACAGTAATTTACCTCATATAGATGACTGCCTCCCATCTAACATTATACTGGTGGCGCTAACATTAGTTCATCTACTGATTTAAAGGGGAATTCCACCAAAGTTTCTGCATAGTTAAATGGTTGAGATGTAAATAAAGTGATTCAGAGTGGTTTGATGTGAAATGCTCCATTCTGCAGAAAGAAGTGGTGGTAATAGGAACCAGATGTCGGAAGAGTTCGATGCCTCTAAAAGCTCCATCACAGAAAGTTTTTACAAGACATGGTTACAAATGCATTGCTTGGTGTCCAAGACATTGTTTTCCGGTAGTTTTGTGATGAGATTTTGGCCTAAAACATAAACTTTTCAGTACTACTTTGCTATTATGAACATTGCATATAAAAACTCAGAAGACACATGTAGGTTCAGTGGTGGTTTTGAAGATTAAATAAAATGGCTGTATTTACATTACAGATATTGCATCGCATCTCTTGGTTTCTATCACCACTGTAAAGAAATTTCATGTCGAACCACTCTGAAAGACTGCATGCAAGAGTTTTTCAAAATCAGTGGAATTCCACTTTATTCCAGAATGATTCCCTTTTGCTTTTGAGCAACTGAGGTTTTGAAAGTTTTGATTTTTTGAATGGAGAAAGTCCTGCTTATAAATACACTCCTCCATCTGCAATAAGATTTTCCTTTGTGCTACTGAATTGATTTGTAAACATAGCTGACTGATTTTGATAGGTGATTGACAACTTAATCTGGTTTCATCTAAGCTAGCAAAATCCTTTCCATAGGGTAACAGCTTCTCTCCAGCATAGCTGAACACAGAATGTACTGCTCTACATGCGAGCATCAACTTTTTATGCACGATTACTCATCTGTACACTCTGTTAAGTGCACAGACTTCTGTGAGTTTAAGCTTAATGCGTCAGCTTTTGACAGCATCAATTATTTTCACTTCACAGGCAGATGAAGGCCAGTAAAATATAAATCAAAATGTACAGTGCGCCGTTCCTGTAGTTGTGTGTCTGTTTAACACGGTGTAAATTGAACACAGGGTATGGAAAGCACCTGCTTTCAGAGAGGTGGACAATTTTAGCTTGAAGGATAGCATTCAGTTACAAGCAAATCAATGTTTTATCTATCACATTACATCATTTACATCCGTGTTTTGTTTGCCAGTTTCATTAACAGTTTTTCTAAATCAAATTTTGAGCTCAGACTTACGACATGAGAAAGCAGCATTGATGAAAAGTTGCATTATGTAATGGAAATGAGGAACCTTCATCGGACAGTGCTGTCTTTTATGGTTGCATCCTAGCTTTCGGGACACAGATATAGATCAGAATTTTATCCTGGTGGAGTACATAAGCATTGGTGGAGTACTTGAGCATTGTTGGTGTCTAAACTAAACTGACTCAGCCTAGTGACCTGACAAGCTGAAGAATATCTTACTTTTTATGGCTGTAAGATCCAAACTATGTAACATTTTTCCATATTGTAACATCATTTGATAACACCATACTGCCCTGTACATTGTGTGAATATTTCAGGAGGAATGGACCAATATTTTCCAAAATGACTTAAAGAAAAATCTTGTTCCATTAACTCACACTAGAAGTTAAGAAAGATTTTTCCCTCTCCTGAAAAGTTACCATTTTGGAGATCCAAGGGTTTGTTTTAGAAGCTATCTTTTGCCATTTAAAATGTCAGAGTTTTTCTTTAAAATGTCTGTTTTCATTGTTGCATTGTTTACGCCAATTTTCTTGGACTAGCTATGATGTGAGAAAGTAATTTTATGGCTTGGTGAAGCTGGAGCCATCTACCTTTCAATAGCGGCTTAGATTTGTCCAGATGTCTATTATTAACAAAGCTGCAGTGGAATCTGTCTTACTGCATGTTTAACATTGCAGTCCTACAAGTCGATTTGGGCTGTCATGAATGCTAATTAACTGGTTTAATTGATTGATCAGTCTCTTCTTAAAAATTGATTATCTCACTTTGTGTCAGTGTTGTAATTTGCATTCCTCTCTTGTTCATTTTGACAGGAATTTATTGGACATGGACACTTTTTCTAAATCAGATCCAGGTAAGGAGAGTTCTTTATTAGAGTTTTCTATGCTGAATCACTTTGATAAAACAAACACACACAGGCAGATACACATTGGTACTTCATTGGCACGCTTTAATGCAGTTTGCTCTGATTATCTGTCCAAGGGCTGTAATGGTGCTTCTTGTTAAAATGCCAAATCAATGCACCCCTCAGGACAACTAATCATTAACTAGTTCTGCATCACTTAGCTGCAGTTGTTGCCGGAGTAGCGTCTGAGCGAGCCGATGTGTGTGTGTGGCTCTGTAGTCGATATCTCGGCTCATTGAGGGTCCTCTCTTCTGTTTAAAAGGAGCAGCATGAGCAACATTAACTCACTGATTTGCTTGTGACCTTTCTAGTGATTGGAAGGGCCAGACGAAGTGACAGTCTATGTCATTTAAAGTGCAGACACTTCATTTTACACAGAAGAGAGTGCATGTGTCTGAAAAGGGGGGAATCTAGGCTTGCAGGCAGTTTTTTGGGGAAAAATCATATTAAATGTATTTTCTCTTGACTTTGATATAATCCTCATGCGATAGTAAATCTCTCTGCTATCACATGTCAGCATCACCACTCCAGCAGTGTAAGGACCAGCACATACCTCCTTTGATGCAAACGAAGGCTGTCACAACATCTTTTTCAACTGTTGGCAATGCAGCGCTGCCCAAAGCACCACACTCTACACACACACTAAGACAGAGAAAAGCCTGTCAGTCTGACGTGCAGCCATACCTGCCTGTTTACATTGCGCAGGGAAGGGAGAGAGAGGAGCTGTTTTACTTCATGACAAAAAGCTAATGGCCGGTTGGGATCCCATGCAGAGAAGAATAGTGCAGTTAGAGTTGGACAATATGACAGTATGTTATCATAATGGAGATACGCTTTTCTGAGTACATCATAGGTAACGTCAGTAATTCTAGAACACTGGGCAGCTGTGTGATTCATGAGCAAGACACATTTACAGAACCTATCGACAACAACAACGTTCAGAAGCAGAAAAAACTGCCTTGTTTTAGTAATTTATTTTTAACAGTTTGCTCTTAAAGGGAACTTCACCAAATTTTAAAACTTTCCGCATAATGAAATGCTTAATATGTAAACAAAGACATTCAGAGTGATTTGGTGTGAAATGCTCTGTTCTAGAGAAACTTAGTCACAATTGTTCACAGTAGTGGTGATAGGAACCAGACATCCGCCTCTAACAGCTCCCAGGCAGAAAGTTATTACATGAAATCGTTATGAATACTCAGCCTGATATCTAAGACATTGTTTTACTATAGTGTTGTGATAAGGTTTTTGGTCTAAAATGTATTTTAATCAATGTATTTTAATCAGTTACGGCGGAGGGGTACATGCAGGGTATTGTGAGGCAAAATAGTCCCAAAAGAAAGCTTTTTTTTCTATTTTACCACCATCAACATTACATATAAAACTCAGAAGATACATGTAGGTTCACTGGTGGTTTTTGAGCAGAAATAAAATGTCGATTCGTGTGTTGTAGACATTGTGACCCCTGGTTCCTATCATCACCACTGTAAAGAAATCCATAAGTTAAAGAGTTCATAAGTTTCTCTGTAAATGAAACGTTTCACATCAAACCACACATCAAACCACTCTGTTTACAAATGTGTTATGGAATTATACAGTAATTTTGAAAAATCATCTACACCTACTGAATATATTTTGCAGTAACTAACGTGCTTAAAATTATGATTAAATAATGAATAAGAGCGGTGATGAACCTGTGTGAGTGAGGTTGATTATTCTAGAACAAGAATTGTATGCAGAGTAACGTTCAAGATGGTGAACAGTCTAGAACAGTGTGAATGGGTGAGAATATTCTATAACAGTGAATGAAAAGGAACATTTAAGAACAGTATGAATGATGCAGACTTTTCTAAAACAGTATGCAGAGAAAAATTCTAGACCAGTGTGAATAGAGGACAACATTCCAGAACAATAGGAATGAAATGAAACACTTTAAAACAGTATGAATGAAGAGAAAAGTTCTAGACCAGTGGGAATTGAGGACAAAATTCCAGAATAATGGAAATAAAACAGTAAGAATGAAGAGGAACATTATAGAACAGTGTAAATGAAGCAGGATATTCTTGAACAGTGTAAATGAAGGGGAACAGTCTAGAAGAGTTTAAATGAAGGAAAACAGTCTAGAACAGAGTGAATGGGAACAGTTAAGAAAGTGAGAATGGAGAAGAACATTCTGGAACAGTGTGAACAAAGAGGAACATTCTAGAACATTGTGAATGTTCTAGAACATTGTGAATGGAGGACAACATTCTAAAACAATGTGAATAAGAAGGAACATTCTAGACCAGTGTGAAAGGAGGTGAACGGTCTAGAACAGTGTGAATAGAGGGGAACATTCTAGAACAGGGTGGATAAATAGGAACATTCTAGAAGAGTGTGAATGGAGAACATTTTAGAACAGGGTGAATGAAGGGGAACAGTCAAAAGTGTGAATGGAAGAGAACATTCCAGAACAGTGTGAATAAGGAGGAACATTTTAGACCAGTGTGAATAAAGGGGAACAGTCAAAACTTTGAATGGATAAGAACATTCTAGAACAGTGTGAATAAAGAGGAACATTCTAGACCAGTGTGAATGGAGGAGAACATTCTAAAACAATGTGAATAAAATGGAACATTCGAGGCCAATGTGAACCAAGGGGAACAGTCTAGAACATTTTGAATGGAGTTGAAGTCTTTAGAACAGTGTGAATAAAGAGGAACATTCTAGAACAGTGTGAATGGAGGACAGCATTCTAAAATAATGTAAATTAAATGGAACATTCTGGACCAGTGTTAATTAAGGGGAACAGTCTAGAACTGTGTGGAATGGAATTGAACATTGCAGAACTGTGTGAATAAAGAGGAGCATTCTAGAGCCATGTGAATAAACACAAACAGTCTAGAACAGTGTGAATGAAGCGGAATATTCAAGTGTGTGTGGAGGATAAAACACTAAAACAGTGTGAACGGAGGATAACATTCTAGGACAGTGTGAATGAAGGAGAACGTTCTCCAGGCTTTAGTGTTCTCCCTGCACTAAAACACATGATTACGTTAACAGGATAAGTTTCAGTCTAAGAGAAACAGTTGAAACAGGGCAACACAGTGAAGCTGTCCCCTCAGGAACTGGGATTGTGTATCATAGCCTTGAACAATTTGAATAAACAAAACAGTGGAGTGTTCAAGTTTACTTTGAGACATTGTTTATATATATAGACAACAATCTTGGGAATATCTGGAATATCTGTATGTCTGGTAATGTCTGGGACACCCTCACATACCCTCTGAAGCGCATATATTTTCCCTGCAGGAATTTGCAGCCATACAGTAATTATATCAGTTCAGTAAGCATTGCAGGAATTTATAATGCACATTGTTCCCCAAAACACCTTTAACTTTTTGTTTATGTATGTCAGCTTTTTAATTAGAAAATCTAGCCTCAGTTTTTTATCGGCTGTTTCGAGCTGTATTACCTAAACTTCACAAACCACCATCTGCTGCTGAAGAATTTCAAATGGAGGTTTGTTATTCCCTTTGAATGAGTGAACAGCCTTTATATCTGTGGTAGAGTGGACACCTCAAGTCTGAACCGATAAATACTGAAGAACTGAATATTGATTATCATGTGAATGCATATTAGATTTTTATCCATTCTGTGGTATTATGGGATGGTGATTTACACTGTCATTCAAAAGTTTGGAATCACTGTTTCCAATTAAATGAAACCAGTGTGGTTGCAGACAAGTTTATGAAATCACTGTAATGTGTGACTCCTGTACAATATCACAGTTTTCAGATAATTAGTAGGAAACTGAGAAGCGGTACATGAAAGTGAAGAAACTGTAGATGTGTTCAGAATGATAAAGAGAGCTGTAGATTATTGTAAAATGACTGAGAAAGCTGTGTAGCTTTGAAAATCATTGTAATTAAATTAATATCCATCATATTCATCCACAAAAGTGGAGATCAAACCTCAAGGCAGATAAATTGCCAAAAAAATGTAAATGGATCATTAGTACATTTCATAGATCACAGTACATTTTAATTTTATTCAGTTCTTGTTCACAGAATTCCTGAAATACTGAATAAAACATCTAAAGTACTGTTTTGGAAAGCAGTTTGTAACATGTAAATTCACATAGTATTGTAAATTCTCATTGTGCAGCAAATAACAACAAAAAATATATATTTCAAGTGATTCCAAACTTTTGAGATGTATGTCTCTGCCAAGCAAGGTAAAAAGTCTAATATACTAAGACAGATCAACTCTAAATAAGAATTAGGATTGAGTGATGTTATGGCTTCCTCACAGTTTCTGACAATGTATAGCACAACCACACTCACTGAGCACTTTATTAGGTACACCTACCTTATTTTACACATTGTCCATTTTTTCAGTTCCACTTATATAGATAAACTTTGAAGACTTGTCCATACACTTGACTATAGTCCATCTTTTTTTTTCTTGCATAATTTGTTACCCTACTTTAACCCTGTTCATCAGCGGTCAGGACCCGCATAGGACCACCACAGAGCAGGTATTATTTGGGTGGTCGATCTTTCTCTGCACTGGAGTGACACTGACATGGTGGTGGCGTATTAGTGTATGCTGTGCTGGTACGAGTGGATCAGACACAGCAGTGCTGCTGGAGTTTTTACAGTTTTTTACAGTGTCCACGCCTTAGGCACGCCATTAGTCACTCCTACCTTGTTGGTCCATCTTGTAGATATAAAGTCTGAGATGAAAGCTCATCTGTTGCTGCACAGTTTGCGTCACAGGACGCAGATGGCTGAATATTTTTGGTTGATGGACTGTTCTCAGTCCAGCAGTGACCCAGTGAACACACACTAACACGTACCAGTGCAGCATGTGCCAACACACCACCACCATGTCAGTGTCACTGCAGTGCTGAGAATGATCTGCCACCCAAATAATACCTGCTTTGTGGTGGTCCTGTTGGGATCCTG